AAGAAAAGATAAATCTCTAAACATATTGGAACTGAAGCCAAATCTAGACTCAACTGCAGCATACGCAAATTTTCATCTGAAAGGACATCCAGTTGAAACCCTTATTGATACAGGAGCAGCCAAAACCTGCATATCAAGAATGCTTGCGGACACATTAAGTCTAAAGATTGATGGACCGTCAAACACAGTGTTTACTTTGGGCAACGGGAAGTTTCAAGCCTCCCAAGGAGTAATTCGAGACTTCAAAATCCAAGTTGGCAATTTCCTCGAAGTGCCTATTACAGTCGAAGTATTAGGTAATTGCCCAGTATCACTCATTATTGGAACAAACTTCTTGGATCTTGTAAAAGCAAAGATAAATTTTGAGGATGCAACCATCACCGTCAACTACAAAGGACAACAATCCTGTGCACCACTTACATACGTTCGAGAAATGCCCAGCAAGAAGACACAACGTTACCAAGAACCGCGTATAACATTATACGAAGAATCCGACGAATCCGACATAGAAGAAGAATCTGAAACCGAAAGCGACGACAGCAATTACGAATACTCCAGTAGCGAAAGCGACGAATCAACCTCATCAGAAGAAAGTGATGATGAAGAATCCTCGGGAGAAGAGGAGATCGAACAAACAAAACATGCAGAATTCTTTCTGAACGATGACCGCCAACGTTACAAACCAAATGTCAAGGAATGGACAGCTGCCGATGGATCACCCTGTTTTGAAGTCGAAACAGCCGAGGGATTCACAATACCACCAAAGGGAAAAGCATATTTCTATGGGAAATTACCTCGCACAATCTCTGCAGATGTAAACTTCTATCCGCAAATATCAGCGACTGCACCCATTGAAGCAACCAATTATCCTAGCATACGAGCCGGAGCCACAGACTGCACGATCACCCTGGAAAACTTTTCATTCTGCGAAGTAGATATCCCAAGTGGATTCCTACTAGGAGACTACATGGAGCAACATTATATACGAGACGATGACTCCGATACCGTATACTCTGAAGACTTGAACAATGAAGAGATATATGGTTACGATATCAACCTGCAATATCCATATCCAACACTGCAACGACAAGGAGCCCGATACGAGGAAGAGTTATTCTTCTTGGATCACGGTGCACAATCACCTACACTACTGGAGACCAGGAACATCGAGCCGAATAACACCATAGAAGTTTGGTCGAAAGAGAACATTACTATACCCGCCGATTTTACCACTCAAGTGCACGGTAGATTTCTCAGACCCACAACGAAACCACTATATTTTGTACCAGAACAAGGAGTCCACCCTGCAGAAACAAGACATGAATACTTCTGCCCAGACGTAGAACAAGGAGCCACAACCTTCACCATCACGATCAAAAATAATCTGCCTTCACAATTGATTATTTCACCACCGAGCTTTATTGGCACCTTTCATGAAATACAAGACAATGCAGACCCCGGAATAGAAACACCAATGGTGAACCGAGCCGAATCCAACAAAGATATTCCAACACCGACCCCGTTAACCGAAGAACAACTAAAGTTACTCAACATACCTGACATCCCTGATGACCACAATGGCAAGCTACGAAAAGCCTTTCTCGAACTCGTACGACAATATCAAGACTGCTTTGCCTGGACAGACGACGATCTTGGATGTACCGACCTATTGGAACATAAAATCACTCTAAAGAAGGACGCGATACCAGTAGCCTCCAAACCCTACAGATTAGCACCTGTAGAAGCTACTGCACTGAAAAAGGAACTCGATCGATACTGCCGCCTCGGAATAATACGACCATCCAACTCACCCTGGGCCGCACCTGTCATGCTCATCAAGAAAAAGGACAACAAGTCATACAGATTCATTGCCGACATGCGAGGGTTAAATAAATCATCTATACGACCGGCGACATACGTAGACAACTTTTGGCAGGAAATACAAGCTGCAGGACAATCCCGGATTTTTTCAAGCCTTGACTTAAAGGATGGATACTTCCAAGTAAAACTCGCCGAACAAAGCAAACCGCTAACGGCTTTTTCTACAAAATTTGGAGCATATGAGTTCAACCGACTACCACAAGGATACCACGCCGCACCATCTGTTTTCGTAACCCTAGTACGATTAGCATTCCAAAAAGAAGAAGACATACTTTGTCGATACCTGGATGACTTGAACGTGCATTCAAAAACAACTGAGGACCATCTTGAACACCTTCGCCGAGTATTTGAATGTTTACGAAATGCTGGACTAAAACTTGGAGTTAAGAAATGTTGGTTTTTCAAAACTGATATTTCATTCCTTGGACACATCATCACTGGAGAAGGAATTTGCGTAGATGAAGCACGCACCAAGAAAATTCGAGAATTACCAATACCGAAAACTGTGACACAGCTGAAGTCCTTTTTAGGCTGTATGTCATGGTACCGAAACTGGATACCGCGGTTCAGTGCGATAGCACGAGTACTATATAACCAGACCAAGCAAGATGCCAAGCCATGGGGAGAAGAGGAAACAAAAGCTTTTAATAAACTGAAAGAAACTCTTATTTCTCCACCCATCCTAGCACGACCAGATTTCCATAGACCTTTCATACTGAGAGTAGATGCATCAAAGGAAGCATTTGGCGCAGCATTAATGCAAAAGGACGACCAAGGAAAAGAGAGAGTAATATCTTACCACTCACGCGTCACCACAAAAGGAGAAAAGAACTATAGCAGTTCCCGATTAGAGACGGCATGTCTTGTCTGGAGTGCAAGACTCTTGAAACCATTCTTGTTGAACAAATTCGACGTGTATTGTGACCACAGCGCACTACGTGGAATATTAAACCAGAAAGAACCAACAGGCATAATGGCCAGGTGGATTGAGACACTGAGCGAATACGAATTCGACGTACACTACAAGAGCGCCCACCAAAACCGAAACGTTGACTTCCTCAGCAGACTACCAGGATTTGGAGAAACCACGAACAGCAAATTCGACCGTTGCCTACGATTCAAATGCGGAAATTTCGAAGACGTTGAACTGGAGAAAAAACAAGAAGAAAAGACGACGACTGACGAACCAATACAGCAAGACGAGAATACACCAAAAATAACCGAAGTCACCAACACAGGACATTCCAAACGCCGCGAACAAATCTAAAGATTCCAGACCACAACAACTGCATAACACTTGAAACACTGGACACAATCAACCAACGTACCACAAAGCCAACCGGACGCCGATCACAAACTGATTATCAACACATCACGAAACAACACTAATAGCAACATACCAACGTCGATCACAACACTATTACACCATCACCCCGCACAAAGCTTATTTTGAAACATTCTCAAATTACTCGACGACATACAATTACATCTACTGTGTCACAACCAAAATCACAATGGATAACAACATATACAACGGACTCAAGTATTATCTTGAAACACTCGAATACCCACCAACTAGTAGCAAGGAACTACGGAAAACAATTCGCACTCAAAACGAACACTATATCGTTATAAATGGAAAACTCTACCGCAAAGGATCCACGCCAAAAATGATCCTACAGAGGAGCGAGATCAAAGATGCAATCTGGATGGTACACAAACATCCTCTTGGGGGACATTTTGCATTCCAAAATACACTATTCAAGCTAAAAACAAAATACTACTGGAGAGGAATGGCGCAAGACGTAAAACAATTCATCGCACAATGCGACCGGTGTCACCAACACAAGAAACCCAACAACCAAGAAACACTATACCCGATTCCTGTTTCGAACATTCCGTTTGAGAACGTGCATATCGATATCAAACATCTACCAACAGCCCAGAGCCTACATCGATATATCATTGTAGCTATTTGTTCTTTCAGCAAATATGTCGAAGCACGTGCCTTACAAGTGGCAAATGCAGCAGAAGTTTCTCTGTTTGTTTACGAATGTATCATTACTATACATGGCTGCCCACGTGTTTTGTGCTCAGACAACGGCTTACCTATCCAAAACAACCTTGTAAATGCCGTCTGCAAGCAATACGGCATCGAACATCGACTCACATCACCATATCATCCACAAGCGAACGGACTAGTCGAACGATTTAATCGAACGGTCGGAGTCATGTTGAAAAGACTCAATAAAGAAGAAAAGAAGAACTGGCCAATGTACCTACCTGCACTACTATTCGCATACCGCAGCATTCGACAAGAAACGACGAAGAGATCTCCATTTTACTTGATCTACGGACGAGAACCACATACACCTTTCGACCGACACGTGCAACCACAAACAAACATTGCAGATCTCCTGGAAGAGGATGATGAGCGCGACGAAGATACGATCATACTCGACTTATTTGAGGAACATATCACAAGACTCAATACAATAAGAGAAGAAGCGATTGATACAATCAAAAGCGCACAAGCGGCACAGAAACGGAGAATCGAAAAGAAATTACTGCAGCAAGGCAAGGAACTGAAACGCCCTTTCCAAATTGGAGATACTGTTCAAGTATACCAAAATTACTTGGAAGGAAATTGGGCAGGACGCCTAGAAGATCTATGGGAAGGACCATTCTTGATTCACAAGGTCAACAAACGCGGTACCTATCGATTAAAAACGATGCAAGGAAGATTCTTACCGAACCCCTACCATGGAAACCGATTGCGCTCTTATACTTTACCTGATACCGAGTACCGAGCCCCAATATCTCAGGCATCGCTGCACATCATTACCGACGAGGTCGATGCAGTACCACCACAAGAAGATGTATCAGAATCAGACCAAGACGAAACAACACAGACGATGCCGCAGCAAGGAAAATCGAGAAGGACTAAAAATGCAGGAAATCGGAGAAAAACAAAGAAAAAGAAGAAAAGAGATAGTAGCTATCGACCTACTAGAGGACGTTCATAGAACAATAACTCTGAAATATAAACGTGCATATGCATAAAAAAGAATTTATACATTTCAAAAAGAACATATTATAAAATACGTGGAGAAAAAGACTGTAAAAGAAAAAAAAACATATATAAAGAAGAAAAAAACATCAATTCTATCATACCACTTGACATTGTCTGTACAATGAACAACAACAACAACAACACCCCAGCATCTTGGAGCAACAACAACACCGAACAAACCGGTATATTCGTCCAAGCCCCTTGGACAGGGACCCCTTCCAGCAACAATGACGAAGGCTGGGGACCAGCACCAACACACATACCAACCTTGCAAGAAGGAGGTTGGCAATACGAGCCAATGGATATAGACGACGAATGGGAAGATCAACGAACAGCGTCCCCAAAGTCGACTTTTACTAGAACATCAACAAAAGATGACGCGGAAATAGCATTTGAAAAAATCAACAGTTTCCTGAACGAGGACCTCGGAACGATTACAACGCTAATCAACGAATACTCTCAAGCAACACCACTCCTGGAAATGAGGGAACTGATCAATCAAAAACTTATACAATTGGCGGGACGTACCAACAGACTCGTAGCAAAATGCCGAGTCCATCCTCACCCGTATCTCACGGACGACCAAGTGCGCGCTATCATCATCAACATCATCTTGCGTAACACATTCACGTGGATTCCTACAAACTTATACTGCAAGGACTGCTGCCTTACGATGTTTGGTAGACATGATACCTCAACATAAAAAACACACACACACATATATACATATATATCAATATTATATCAACTATCATCATCCTGTAAGCCAAGAAAGGCAACAAGAAACTGTATACCAACGAAAACTCAAAAAAAAAAAAAAAAAAAAAACAGGCAAACAAACAAAAAACACACACACACATATATACATATATAATCCCAATTTATCATTATCATATTCATATCACTGCCAACAACTGTAACCCAAACAACACACACACACACACACACACACACACACAAATTATATATATATTACAAATCCTCCTATTACCATAAATAAATCTTTACAATGGGTGCAGAATATATAAATCGATCATAAATCACAATACAGTCAAACAAAAAAAAAAAAAAAAAAACATACAAACAAAAACACGCATACACAAAGCGTAGCTTCCGACCAACACAGACAATTCAAACAAAGGACAAAGCGCCGAAACACACAGAGTGACTCTACGATCCGTAACCAAATCCACAACAATACAAGGGAGCGCCAACACATACGCAAAGCGACTCTACGATCCATACACAAATTATCAATGCAATCGAACGGATGGAGCACCGAAACACACAGAGCGACTTTACGATCCACACAATCAACACAACAAATCAAAAGGATGGAGCACCAACACATACACAGCGTGACTTTACGATCCAAGGAACATCACAAAAGAATTACAACAAAAATACGAACGGATGGAGCGCCGACGCACATACAGAGCGACTTTACGGTCCATTATACAACAATTTAAACGATGTGGGACCATCTTTTTCCGGGCCCGAGGAGGTGTGTTACCCCGAGAACCACCCATAACAAATAAACCAAACATACAAAAGAACCACACACCAAGCGGCAATCAGAATACAATACGTAACTACCGCAGCAACCGCAGCAACTCTACAACTCTCTTGCACCCCCAAATTATCAAAAGGAACAACTATAATTAGAACGAACCCTTTACCTTGTAAAGATTCGATGAACAGCTTGTTGAATAAGAGCATTACCGCAGCATCCGCAGTAACAACAACTACCGCAGTAACAACAACTACCGCAGCATCCGCAGTAACAGCAAGTTACCGCAGCATTGGCGTTGCGCAGCAACCGCAGCAACCGCAGCAACCGCAGCAACCGCAGCATGAATTATCTTAGACATTATTAAATAACCAGAAAGATATAAATACCCCATCATTTTTATTTGAATAAAGACATTGAATTTCTACCTCCCACTTTTGACTTAACTTTTCAAGTGTTGTTTTCAATCACTCAAGACCTAAACACGGCTTGTTTTATCTTACATATTGTTTATTGCTCATAACTGAAGCTAAATAAACTCTTATATTAAGACCAGACGTAACATTCCTGCTCTTATTTCTCATTTACTTGGACAGACGTAACATTCCTGATCCTTATTTCTCATTCATTTTGGACAGACGTAACATCCCTGATCCTCATTTCTACTCACTGAGCTTAATCAAGACAACAGCTCCCTACTATTTACAACCTTGGACATAACCCATACACATTTTTACCTTACTTTACACTCATATCACTTCACAACCCGTCTGTAATAAACGATATTATTACTGGTGCTCACTACAAAACATACACATAAACCGTTACGCAACTACCTGGAATACCCCAAATTCACCGTAACAGTATGGTCATTGCAAATGCTGGTCGGACAGGAAATTGGCGGCGACATAGGATGAATGGGTAATCGCCCTCAGTTGTGCACATATTAATCCGTGGCAGATAATACTTAGTACCTTCATGTCCTTCATCAATTTTCTTAACACCAATACTCCATTCAAGAAGTCTGGTGACAAAAACTTTTGTACCATTGCATAAGCCAGCGTCAGGATCAAGGTTCCGAAGGATGACCAATGGCATGCCAACTTTGAGCAGCAGGGAATGTGCTGGAGCACCACTTGCGCTAATGCTGTTCAAGAACTCAACTGGATAGTTGGCAGCAGCAGCTTCTGGGTCATCGTGATTAATGACGCAGTCGTTCAAATTATATATGCGTGCTGTGCCAGGGAAAACAGAGAATGCTGCATCGTTGATAATGTCGACGTCAATATTTTTTGCTGCTAATATAGCTTGTTTGCTGAATTCATGTGGTTGAGGATCGGGATTGCAGATAGTAGGGTAGATGGCGTCAATCAATGACATTGGATTGCTTGTGTTGTTGCGCCATTCTGGTGGTATCTCGACACTGGTTGTATACGGTGGACGACCATCCCTAATGGCGAGAAGGGTATCGGCAAATGCTGCAGCATCAGGACTTGCATTGAGTACTGGCATGTTGACAGTCAAATGCAGTACTTGAACTGCCGACCAAAAAGAAGCAGAGCGAATGCATTCTCCAATAACTTGGGACCGTGTCCCTCTTTTGACGACAGGGAGTAGCTGGCGAAAGTCACCACCGAAAACAACGACTTTTCCTCCAAACGAAACACGTTCCTAGTGGGGATCTACAGCACCTATGATATCCCTCAAGGATCTGTCGACTGCTTCAAAATTGTGCTTGCTGCATATGACTGCTTCATCCCAAATAATAAGCGATGCTCTCTGTATGAGATATGCATGTGGACCACCAAGACGCAAATTGCAGCTCATGCTTTCGTCGGCATTCAAGGGAATTTTAAAGCGACTATGCGCAGTTCGCCTACTAGGTAACAAAATAGCAGCAATACCTGAAGAAGCAACAGGCAAGGCTATCTGATCGTGGGAGTGAGTGTGGCTCAAGAGTGCCTTGAAGAGCTGCGACTTGCCGGTACCACTAGGACCATTGATAAAGAAAATATGCGAACTATACTCAGTTGTAGGAGCATCTATGGCATCAGCAATGGTATCAAACGCATGATGTTGGCCTTCATTCAATGTGGGAAGCAAAGCTTGAATTAGCTGGTGCTGTACTTCTATATTGTACTCGCGCCTTTCTACAATTTCCAGAGCTTCTAGTGGTGGCAGCCGATCTAATTCGGTAACGAATTCTTGTGGTATGGAGGGGAATTCGGTAAGATGGTGGCCTGTTGAATTCAATCGCATTTCTAAATCACTGAGTGCACGTTGATATATTTGCTCGATTTGATCAGGTTGCAACTCATTCTCATTGGAAAGTGATAGCGTTCTACGCATTTCGAGAAAGTAGTCGTCGGCCATTCGATCACGGTGGTTGTTCCATAAGGTAAGTGGGTCGGTTGGTGATGAATCGATGAGAATATACACAAAGAGTGCTCGAATTGCAGCTGCAGATGGCGCGGTAATGGATGCCTCAGCCAAACAGTCGTCCCATTCCAGATTTGACTCCAAAAAACCATAGGCGACGGCCGCTTCTTGAAAAGTTGCATATACAACCCCATCCTTTGTCCTCAACGCTTCGAAGCTTATTGGTCCTCGGACATGCAAAAGAAAGAGACGAAGGGCATATAATGGCATGTTGGAAATTGAAGCAGCATATATGCGAGACACTACGTTCTGTACTGGTGGGTTGGTGCGAGGATTCCATCTATCGTTTCAGTCGTCCCAAGTATAGTGGCAAGAAATTTGCGTATACGTGTACTGACATGCAGCAGGATCCCGAGCACAAAGAGCAAAGAAACCGAGTAGCCTGGTCCCAGTAGCTGCAGCATTGCGAGCTAACTCGAATTCCTGAGGTGTCATATCGCCCCGAAATACCATCAGCTGTTCGCCAGGCAGATGGATGTCTAAGCGCGCTACGGTTGAATGGTGCATATGCACTCTGAATTCCAGCGTTCTCCAAACTGCCTCACATGGTCCTATGTATCGTGCATTCTGATACTCGACTACTTCATCAATGGCGTCAGGTTGGGCAGCTGTGTCAGTGGTAGCAGTCCGCGTTCTCGCTTCAAGTTGCACTTGGTCAGATCCCTTAGTGATGTACTTGCACAAATATTTGATGGCTCGAGCAGAGGTACAGATTTCGACGTTAATATGAGCATCATACTTTTGGCTAAGATACGGGTTGTAGGGAACGACATGTCGGTTGGTGGCGGTGAATCGGCTTCGTTGGAAAGTATGCTGGCGTTGATTTTGGCGTCGTCGATACATAGGATAACCATCACGATTCACGCGTGTCTCTGGAGAAAATGGCTTGGGATAATGCTGTGAGCAACGACTGTTTTTCATACAAACAGCATCTGGTGCAGCATCTCCACAAGGGCCATGTATCATGCAGGAAGTGACCGTTGCATACAATTGAGGGTGAGTCAACAGATCGGGTAATTCAGCATACACAAATCTGTTGTAATCAGTTGGCATGTGGGGTCGGTCTTGCTCGTTTAAAATAAGTAGGATATGCACATGCGGCAATCCTCTTTTCTGACATTCCACAGTTGCCAAATACCCTTCAACCTGACCAAAGCACTTCGAGTCCACAATATGGTGTAGCAATTCGGTGATCTTCATGTTGAAAACTCGAGAACAAATGTCCGGTCGATCAAAAACCTTTTGCCCAGGGAGCAGCTCAGCAACGATTTCTGGCCACTGCGGATTGCAGGTGAAAGTGATGAAGAGGGTAGGATTTCCACGTTGACGAACAATGGCAAGGCCGTCTTGAAGCATTTGTTTTATATAGCGTGGTCCACCCGTAAATGAAGAAGGAAGAATGATGGAGCGACCAACTTGACGTGGATCCACAGCATCACCAACACCGCTATACAATTCAGCACGAAGATCTTCTTGATGTGTCGAAATGAAAAACAACCGGGCACTATCAATACGGGCGTAGTTGTCCACGACCAACTGCTGAAACAAACGCCCGAAATGATGATGGAACGTTTGATCATCGCCACGAAACATCAGCATATATGCGCAGAAATCGAGCAAAGTGACAGTAACTGTTTGGTTATCTGCTGATCGACACCTCATTCTGTGATACCATCCATTGTCACCGTTAGGAAACATAAGCACATAATGGAGCGGCATATAGGATGGGTGAAGGGAGCTTATTTGGCGTAGTCCTTCAGTGCGGTCATGGATCACGATATCATGCGGTGTTGCCGAACCATCAACTGAATTTTCAACGACCATTGCTGCTACTTCGGGATAAGCTTGTTGATCGTATCGCCTTCCCAAATCGCTCGCTGTACGAATTACAACACTGATAGATCCCACGGGATGATCGCCATGTGTTTTAGCTGCTGTCATGAGAGTTGATGCAAATGGATTGTGTTCCTGCATCACACGTTGCAAAGTTGCAATCGTGTCCGAACTTAATCTAGAACGCAACGTCGTTCTTCTCGCCGATTGTTCCTGTCTTCTGCAAAGTATATTTGCGCGAATTGAGCCTGTGCGGTTTCAGGTGCACGCAACGAACCAAGACAATGGTACATAGTGCCATTATTCTGGAAAGTAGAAACTCCATTTCTTCCACTTGCCAGATCATAATCCCAATTGGTGTGGATGGAGGCGAAGGCAAACAAATTGCTGTAAGCCCTAATGTTGGTATGGAAATCCACAGCTACTCGTTCTGTTGAATCATAATGGATCAGAAGATCATAAAGTGGTGCAGGAGGAGCGCGAGGAAGAGGGAGACGTATCTTTCCATGAGTACAGCAAATGCCAAAGCGTGGTCTCAAGAGAGAGGAGGATTTGATACGCTCATCTATCCACATTCGAGCATGACAAAAAGAGCAGGTGGTGTCCATTCGAGGGAAAATATGACGACGATACGAAGCTCCGGGCGTATAGCAGATGTTTGGACCGAAAATATGTTCAGGTATGAAAGGAATAGTGCAGGCTTTTTGGAATCGAGCGCCATGTTGGGATTCAACGTTACCAGGATGGAAAGGACAGCTGCGGTTAGAAGAGCGCAAATGATCGGGTGATCCACATCTAGAGCAACTGCGTACAGAAGCAGTACTATTATTGTTGGTAGTGGTGTTGGTGCTTGTTGTCACATCATCGTTGGTTACTAAGTCACTGACAGGAGTGTCCTCATCCTCAATAATGTTATCCTCAGCAACTATTCGAAATTTCATTTGTAAACTTTCTTTCTCCTAAAGGATGACATGGATCGCCTATCAAGGAAACACGCACTCTCTGTTGCTCTCTCTCTCTCGCTCTCTCTCACACCTTATGTGTATAGCAGCTGCAATACCTTCAATGGTGCTAGCTTGCAGTTCCACTGGATTCTCAATAATGATATTCATAGTGTCTTCCTGCTGTTCCTACGTTCAAAGGGAATAAGAAAGGAAAAATAGACAACATAAGCTAGTTCAGGTGCATACATTTTCAGAATCAAGAAGTCTGCGCCGGACATTGCGCTCATTCAAAGGACATCCACGGAAAGAAACACGTTGGTGAGTAGTCGACCCGCAGCGACAGGTGTGAACTTCGAGTGATTGCTTTTTGTGAAAAAAAATTTTAAAAAATTGAGTAAAATGCCCGGCTTTTGTAAAAAGTCGTTCCATTTGAATTCGAATGAAGCTTCCAGCGACACATTTGGTGTTCATAAGTTGTCTGATTCCGGGGCAATACCTCTTGAGAACTCATATTATGCAAAAACAACAGCTTGCAGGTGAAACAAATTGTTACATAACAAAAAAAGTAAGCTGAGCAATAGATACCAACGCCAGCCACAACTATTTCCTTTTTTGTACAATAACGTAAGGGCTAATCGATTTTTAATAGAAGATAAAAGGATATAACGTTTAAACAGTTTAAAAAGGTTTATACAAAACCTAAACCTTTTAAAGAATTAATAAAAAAAGTTAAAAAAATCTTAAACGTTCAAAAAATAAAAAAATTATAATCTAATTTTTTATTTTTTCATATATATGTTTAAACAATGATATATCTTTAATTAATAAAACCTTTTAAGGAATTATGGTTAAGGATTAACCCCCTTAAGAACCTTCCACTGAGCTTTGATCATCATCGTGGTTTTTGCCAACAGGATACCTTCGGGAATGCTGCTTCGTGCCCATCTAACCCACCATTCAGGAGCATACCACCTCCTATAAAGATACACTCAAGCATTAGGCAGGCCGAGATCCACACATAAGTTGTACATTTCGTCAACAGTACGAAAATACAACTGCTGCTCGTTTCAGGTACCAACTACATTTTTCTTAATAATCATTATAATATGATTTGTGGATCGACATAACATTCCTACCTCCTTCGAGTGCAGTTAACGGGTGCCAATTATAATGCTTTTGCATCATATCTTTGATGGCATTTCGAATTTCTAGGTCACTATATATACTGCCAGTTCTATCTTCCCTAGGACGAAAAATTGCACTTATATACGAAATAAAGCTCGAGCCTCATCCAGAATATTTTGCAGTCTTGCTGTTTTGGGTTCTGCTAAGCGTTTCTTCACTGAGCAAATGAGATGCCATAGATTAGTCTAAGCACTCTCCCATTTGTCCAGACTGCTTCTATAGCACAGATCTGTCCCCAGTCCTCATCCGTAAACATGAACTTGGTTTGAAGACCAGCTTGCTTTAAGCATGTAGAAAATTCGGCAATAACACCAACATGAAATGTGTCATCCTCGCCATCATTAACTAGCTGACTCTGTGGTGTAAGCTTCAGAAGCATGTATGCAATCGGAAACCTGACACCAATTACAGTTGCAACTGTCCTAAATAGTTCGTATCCTGCTCGGTTTGTCTTAAATGTAGAATCGACATGGTATTCCTCTGCTAGTTGCTGTGATCCACAAATTACATCATATAATCGCATGGTAAAACCAATAGCCGAGTATTTACTCTATGCTGAGGTGAAAATCTGTTTATTGGCTATTATATTTAATTGATTCTATAAGTAATGGTTCTTGTCTATTCTCAACACGCCGAAGTGATTTTATGCACGATCCTCACATATATTTAATATTAAGTAGTAGCTAATTATTTAGGACAATTTGACATACCTTGTGGACACCCTTGTCAGCGGCTCTGTCGGCGAGCATCTCTGCTGATCTGAACTGGTTGTCGTGCAGTATATATTGGTCTTGGCACTACTGGCACGCCCCTGCGTTATTCTTGTCGCTTCTTGTCGAAACTGACGGATAAGGTTACGATGCAGCTGTTATGCATCTAATTCGATGGCATTTGCAGCGATGTATGCACGTACATTTTATGGGACGGCGTTATTTTCGACGGCAGGTGCAGCCCTATGCCCATAGGAATGTTCGATGTTCAAGTAAAAGTAACCATTCACTCTGTCGACCATGCCACCATGCCGCTGATGCAGCCTTTGCATCAGAAAGTTGCCATGCACTGATGCAATTGTAAACGAAATGCAGCTTGACCCTGCACATCGGAATCTTGTGAGCATCGGAAAAGGAAAGAATAGCCGTGGTTCTGTTCGGTACGCTTCGTAGTAATGGTATCCGTCAACAGCCTAGATACGATCGCGGATGTTGATCACAAGTTGCGAATCTGACAACGCCAACATATCGTCGTCAAGTTGCACATACGCGTCGAGGCTGTAATCTTCGAGACTGTTGGCTACGTTCCTCAAATTATGACGCGAAGGAATCAGCTCGAGTACTTTGTCCATTGTCAGGAGTAACTGCTCTGCGATTGGTTTACCAACATCACTTTGGCGTTTACAGCATTTCTACACGTGCTGTAATCTTGTCTATTGCTAACAAAAAATAGCAAAGGGCGATGAGATTTGCAATTACTGCATCTTTTCAATTCAGGTTGCTCGAGTGTTACTTGGGCTTGGATTTGTTGCTGATTTTGTGGTTCCTTTTTGAGGAACAAGTTTAAAAACCCCAAAACTGAAAAACGGATTTTGGTTCGATTACATGATTAACTTTCAGAGAAATTAAGTTCCGAAATCCGTTTCCGTAATTTTTTTGAAATGGCTAGGTAGGCTTGCCCCAGCCGTTTTAATTTTTTCACGGGCACGTGACCTATAGAATTTTTTTTTGTATAGAAGATGATTTATTGAGATACTGTTGATGTCGGTATTTATAAGGCAAGAAAGGATACTTACATAATCTGATAGTGTTACTATGCTATAGATGAGTTTTCTGCATATATCCGTCTGAGGGCTAGTGTGGTGCTGGCTGCCACACTATCTGGCCAAAAGGTCGTGCCGTCAAATACATAACGCCAGTGTGCATTCCAGATGTGGAGTATTGTTGTAGCGATGATACAAAGGAAGGGCAATTTGTACTCGGGCTTCACGGAGAGTGGAGAAGCGTTGAGAGACACAAGATGATCAAACGTCAACGCACCATTATCAACCAGGAAGCGCTGGCTGATGGTCGACCATACTTGCAATTTTTTAGGGCAGGACCAGAAAAAGTGCTGTGGGTCTTCGACCGCAAGACAAAAAACACATGTTGGGGATTCGAAAACGCCTGGGATTAGCTGATGTAACCTTTGTTTGCAAGATATCTTTTGATGAAGAAGGCGCCACCAGACTGTGTGGGCTCTATGAGAAAAACACGAGTTCTAGAAAAGTTTCCATCGCTTTTTTGATGAACTAGGATACCAGTCAAAAAGGTGCTCAAATGTGGTGAGCTGACTGTAGCGAAAAGTTTTGGGTGTGATGTCGTCAAGTGCAGTACCTGCAGCAGTAGTAGCAAGAAGAACAAGCGGAGTATTCTTATTCATAGGAACGGCAGTAGGTTGAGCTGGTTGAATGGGTATAATCTTGAGAGCATCTGTGGCGCAGAATAATGAGAAAACGCAGCCAAAGGTTTTAATGGCAGAAGTACGGCTACTGGGAATGAGCAGCGGATTGATAGCCGATGATGAGTGTGAAAAAGAACCGAGACAGGAACGCAGGATCGGAAGGATGAAAGATTCGTGGTCTTCTTCAAGTTCAAGCAGAGGTAAAAGCCAGCGAAACTGCAAGGCAGAGTGCTGTACCACTGGGTCGAGTATAGCCAGGCCTCCTTCCTGTCGTGGGCGTGTACAGGTTGCAAAGCTGACAGGTGGAAAGGCTTTTTGAGTCACGAATTGATAAATCTTTTGCCAGATCTTTTGTAGGTATTTTTTGGTAATGGGTAAAATCCATATACCATACCATACTTGGCTCAAGAGTAAGGAGTTAGCGACTAAGCCGCGTCCTTGGATCGATAACGAGCGTTGAGACAGTATTTGAACGTGCACTGTGATCTTTTCTTATATTCTTAAAAGATACTGATCCAGCTGCGCTTTCATACTCGATAGCAGGAAACTAAGATAGGTAGCAGGGGTCGTGCAAGAGGCATCGTGCCATTCAGTAATACTGGCGCGTTGTAGTGTGGACATCCAGGTGGTCTGTTGCTTCCCACATAAGGAAACAGCAACGGTCTTGTCTCTGTTGAGTTTGGCGTTTGATGCGTGGCTGTACAGATAGAAAATATGGAGGAGCTCACGCAGTTCTTCTGGCTGTGTCAAGAAGACAAGAATGTCGTCTGCATATGCAAGAACTTTGAGCCGTGGTGGTGTGGTCACCGTTCTAGGGCGCAGTGGGCTTGTAGGTTGTCCAATTCGAAGCCAGGGATAGTGGAAGTAGCCAGTATCGCCTATAGTAGCGGTTCTAGCGCTAGGTTGAATAGCAGGGGTGATAAGGGGTCGCCTTGCTGGAGCCCTCTGCCTTGTGGACTTGGGGCCGCTAGATGACTATTGATGTTGATGCAGAGCTCAGTGTTGAAGAATAAGGAGCAGATGTTGTCGATCAGCGTAGGAGGGAAACCAAAGCAGGTGAGCACATAGTATAAATATTGGGGATAGACACGATCGAACGCTTTACATCCGTCAAGTAGGAGGGCAATGCCAGGCATGTTGTATTTACGAGCAAGATCCATAGCCAAACGAGCGGCGATACCATTGTCGGCAATAAGACGTTGCTGGAGGAATCCGGTTTGATGTTGATCAATCAAATTTTGGCATAGACTGACGAATCTTGAAGCAACCAGTCGTGTAAATATTTTGGCATCGGTGCATATTAGTGAAATCGGACGCCAGTTGGCAAGATCAGTAAGGTCACCTTTCTTGGGAAGAAGGATGACTACTGATTTTTGCCATGTCGCTGGGAACTCCCCTCGGGATAGTGCATTATTCAAGACTTCGGTGAAAAGCTGACGGCAGGTTGGGTGCTGAAAGAGCAGCTTTAGGAATGGGTAAGGAAATCCAGCGATCCCTGGGCTGCTCTGGGTCAGAAGCTTATTGAGGCAGGCTTCGATATCTTCGTCAGTCCATTCTTGTGGCATTTAGTCACAATCAGTCTGGGAGAGTCTGGTGTCGCGAGGCAAATAGGCCAGAATGGCACCTATACCCGAGTCTAGCACTGGATCAGCAGAGTACAGATGGCGGTAGAACTGGGATATGCAGTCTAGTAGCGCATCAGGGCTGCGGACAATAGCACCATCTTCTGTATGTAGGGCTTGGATAATTTGTCTCTGTTGGCGATCGCGGCAGCGGTAAAAGTACTTGTTTGAACGTTCACTTTTTTCCCTCCATCGGATGCCTGCTCATAGCACCAAAATATTGGCTTCTTTGTCGGTAATATCGTCGATTTGTTGCTCAGTGTCAGCGATTTGCTGGCTGATGCTGCTGATATATTCATCGTCTTCGCTGTTGTTGGTGGCGTGATGATTGGTGCTGTGGTTGCTTGTGGTATTGTTGTCAGTAGTGTCAGTATTTTGTTGGGGACTTCCGATGGTGTTGTTGATATTGTTGTTAGTGTTATGTATGTTGTGGTTGATGCAGCTTTGGTGTGCATGGTTGCTGATGTGGCTAGTGGCGCTGTTGCTGTGAGGCGGATGTTGTTGTTGTTGTTGTTGCTGTTGTTAGTGGATGGCAATAGACAGGTTGCGTTGTAACTGGCAGTGCGATCGGTGTAGTGATTTGAGGGTTCTTTGTTGCTGTGAATGTTTGCGACGTGTGTAACTTTGGACAAAGGATTTTATGCATGCTTTCAGAAAGTCCCATTGCACGTGAGCCGGAGCGTCGGGCAGAACGGAGGCCCTGGCATCAAGAAAGTTTGTCAATTCATAGCAAAAGGTTCTGTCGTGGACGAGGTACGGATTCACACGCCAAATGCCAGGGCCTGTCGGCGGTGCAAAGAGTTTGAGTCCGATAGACACGGCTTTGTGGTCGGTGTGGTTTGATACATGGGTTACTGTTGGTTGTGCTGCTGCAGGCAGTAAGTCGCCTGAGAGTAGAATGAAGTCGCGTTTGGATGTGCCAAGAGGGCCCTTATATGTATAGCTATTGAAGGCAGTGGCATCAGATTTGAGTGGATCAAACCAGGATAATGAGAGCCACTGTACCTATGAGTTGGCAGCAACTCGCAGGTGTCCGGGTATATGAATGTTATAATTATAGTCGCCCAACATGATGCTGCGATGCGGTAGGTGTTGATCATTGCAGATCATGGTGGCGAGTTCAGCATAAAACGGTGGTCGAAGAGAGCGATCGGCAGGGGCATAGACGACATATATAGTGATCGGGTCAAAGAGGTGATGGCGGTGAGTTAATTCAGCTACGAGGAGACGGCCATCAAGCGATGACCAGAGAGGTGAAATCTCCAGGTCAACATCGAAAGATAAAAGACCACAGTGCTGGGTCCAAGTACTAGATGTGACGTGAAGCTGAAGGGAGAAACGATCGTGATCATGAAAAGTGCTGGCATGGGTTTCTTGGAGAGCTAAGATTGTGCAAGACAGTGTCGAAATTTGGTCAATGAATGGTTGATGTTTTTTGGTGTATATTTTTTTTGAGGTCTCAGCAGTTGAGCGAGGCTAGAGATATTTGTGGTTGCGGGATTTCTGTGATCATGGTTGGTATGGCTTAGTTGGGTTACTGTATGGAGCCATGTTATCGCCTCCGTCGGCAATAACTGCTGGGATGGTGGTGGTGGCATTGGGTTCAGAGATTTTCGTGAGAGCAACTTTATTGTTCGTCTTTTTGTGTTGCTGACGATCAGCACGCTTTTTGGTGATGGACTTAGGAGTTGGGCCTTTGGCCGTTTTGCTCGTGTCGCCTTTGTTCGTGCCAGTGCGAGTCATGCCTTTGCCGTTTTTGCCTTTGCGAGACGAACGAGATGGCATTGCCAATGTTGCATTAGTGTGGTTGCTGTCATTGTCGTCGTGCATATCGTTGTCTGCGTCACTTTACTCGTCGACTTGTTGCATATCATCGTCGTCACATTGTTCGTCGTTGTCACATTGTTCGTCGTCGTCACATACCTCGTCGACGTCTTTATTAGCTGGTGTTGCTGTGCTGTCGATACAATTTTCGTCGTGTTGATGATGCTGAATGTCCTTGCACTTGTTGGTAGGTTCTGCTGATGCCTCATCTCCTACGAGCGTGATATCTTTATGTTGAGCCTTGGCGACATCTGCAGCATTGTTTTGAGGTGATGCAGCTAATAGATGCTGGGTGACTGTGGCAGGAGCAGCTGTAGACACGGTGCTACTCATAGTCGCCGATGAGGATGTAGACGTGGTTGCAGCTGCATGCGTTTCTGCAGAAGGTGTAGTGGGACTGTTGCTTACATCTGTGTCATGTGCCGACCGCAGACATTTCTGCCCGGTTGTAGCGTCGTTGCTATATGGGTAATCGCGAATGAGGTGTTTTGGGCTGTTGCATTGATAGCAACGACGGTCGCGACGAGCAAGATCTTTTATAAGAGGACATGCTGCAACTCCATGGCCATGTTGGTGGCAGTAGAAACAATGTTGCTCCATGCCTTTCCAGGAGGCTAAGATGCATCGATTGCCAGAGAAAGGGATCACATGCTGTAGTGGTTCAAAGGCATCATGCGTTGGTTCCACTGTACGATCGAGGATTGCATAGCCTTTACCATGAAACATGGTCGAAATTGGATCAACATAAAGGCCGATGTGAGCTATTTTTCCAAATCGACTCATGGTGGTGTTGAGCAAGGGTGTTAATTTAGCAGGCGAGAGAAGAGGGAGCTGTTCTAAATTAATGCAGTACACATCGTTTTCTGCTTGGAGAGTGATGATGCCAAAGACTGTACGCGATCCCACAGTTACACCAGTTGTGCAGACTGCTGTACAGGATTCCATATCTTCAAACGAAAAAATAGCCCCATTGAAGCTTTTTGGTACTGGTGTATGTCCAACGGCCTTAGGGTACTGTTTCTTCAATATCGCCATGAACTTTTGAGGGTGCGAGCCTATGTCACGGAATTCAAAGAAAGCGCTGTTAGGTTCATTGGAGCGAATCCATTGGCGATTGTTGCGTTGCGTCGACGCGGCTGCTTTTGCAGAGGTATCCCCAAAAGCGGTGACAGGTTTGCCGCGAATCGTTCGTTCATACGTTTGGAAGTTTTGCCACTGTTGCGCAGGAGATAGTGGTTGAGGCAGTGGAGCCGTCTCTCTGGACGACGCATGGTGGTATTTGGTGGCGATGGTGAAGTTGCTGGTAGAGGATGCTCCGGCGGAGGATCCTGATTGGTTGATTCTACCATTTTGTGATGAATAGTGGAAAAAACCCCCGTGGTGGTCGTGACCTATAAAATAGATAACCCGTTCGGAAAATTAAATAGCCGGAAGAGAAACGCCAACTTTTTTTGTTTGAGATCGTTTCAAAAGTAAACATTCACCTCTACATAATGTATTACATAGTGTCTATGTTTGCATTCTTCTTTACTGGAGAGCTTATACAAATTTAGGTGAATACGCAGCATACTTACTGTTCTTTTTGCTCACCAAACATCGACTATAAAGCATAATTTTGTTAGACAAGGAGATGATCATCTAAATTCTCGAGTATAAAGCAAGCAGTAGAAGTTAATAATAGACAAAGCTAAAAAAGATAATAAGAAGGGAGGGAGTGACATAAAATTCAATAATGCAGTGGCAGATATGAGGAATTTAAGAAAGATAACGCGTAAATGGATGACCATCGCTCATTGTTCTTGCTCTTGCTCTTGTTCGTCTAGCTCGAAATTGTCTAACTACCGTACTTACAGATATTCGTCAACAATATCATTTTCGACAACATCGTCAAACATATTCCGTTGACGTACTCCAAGTATAGAGCGATAGCTATGAGTGCTTTCATTTAATTTTAGAGCACGAGCGATCTTTTGTTCGACAATGCTTTGTCTTGACTAATCGCCGCTGTCATCGTGAGCTTTGTGGTCTTATTATAATTGTTGCAGCCGGAGCTGCTGGTGCTGGTGCTGGTGTTGCTGTTGTCGTTGTTGGTGCTGTCGAAGTCGACGTGAATGTTGAGACTAAAGAATAACAGAAAAACAAGTTGACGTTTCTCTTTGGCTATTTAATTTCCCATACGGGATATCTCTTTTTCTAGGTCACGTGTCCGTGAAAAAATTAAAACGGTGGGGTAAGTGCTAGGTAGGCGCCAACAATCTGTAATCCCTTGCGTAGACCACGAAAAAGTGGAGTGTAACTCTTTGTGTAGACCAACTTATATTATGTTGTCTTCTAGTGACGCTCTGTAAGTGAGATATAATATCTAGTGATAGCCATTTACCACGCATGTCTGACACTCTTTTCTGAACATTATTGTTTTTCTTTTTTTATTAGAAGAATATGCTGTAGAGAAAGAGAAAAAAAGTGAAGATTAAGTGAAAGTGTATACAGATATGTTAAAGAAGATAATGTATGGTTCTGCTTTTTATCAGAGTATATGATGCTCTTGGTCGCCTTAATCTTCACTGTCCGAGTCATCGTCATCTGGATATTTGAAACAGCCGTAGTCAACGCTACTCTCCATGTAGAATAGCGCCATATTGCTGAGGGACTGTATTCTTCTGCTAGGCTAATGGTGCAATCGCAATCTTCTTCCGTCTCACCGGGCGACTCAGGATCTTCCCCAATAAGGCGCATACCGACCTCTGGAAGAAGAACAGAGGCTATATATTCCGGGGCATCCATTGGTTGATGTGCTCCTTCGCAGCATCGATCTCGTGTACCAGCATGTCTTGGAGTGTTTTTGCCTTTAAACCCATAGTATCCAGGCTATAATATATGAAGATAATTGTTATTACATCATAGGATCTACTATATATACATTTCAATGTTGCAAAACTTAAAATATGGTCTTTGAAAATGCTCATCTTTAACATTGAATTTTTCGCAGCTCTGATGCTAGGGGCATTTTTGTAGTATTCTATGATCTTCTTCTTGAAATAGCTTTAAAACGGCTTATGCATTATCAAATCCTTGAGCTCGTCTAGACCATAATGTCGAGATGCGGTCTACACCAGCAACATCATTCTGTCGATGAGGTTTCTTTACTTTCGAATGCGGAAAGACGCTGAAATAATTGGGCGACAAGGATGCTTGTAATGGCTTAACCGTGACCTTTTAAATAGTCAACAAGCAGTGAGAACTTGCTGTCAATAGCCGAGACATTACAGTATCTTTGCCGAAAGTTGGAAAGTCCTTAGAAATAATGAGGATACCTCTATGTCTTGCCCGAACGAGTTCTGCTATGCTAGCTGGTCGGAGAGACGCTGCTTCTGTGCTGGCCAGGTTTTCAAGCACTTCGTCATCTTAATAAAACTCTCGCCGTTGGTGAGGTACGTAGGCAGGAGCTTCGCCGTTGCACTTCTCTACCGGGTGTTATGCTCAATAGCATCGTCAAGAGCAAATACTTCATCCGAGTTAGACTTATACTCTCTTCCATAATGCCAACTGAATCTTCTGATTTGCCATGTTTTCGGTTCGCCTTTCTTGACTTGAGCGTATGACCCGTAGATCTCCTATAGACAGCCAGTTTTTGACTTTTGCCTTGTCTTTGGCGGGCCATTCCGTTAGTGGTGGCACGATCCTGGTACAGTGGTCCCCCGCTTTTTGCACCTCTACCTTTCGCAAATGGTGCGATTTCTGCAACAATCAGTCAGGACTAGAAACTTAATTTTTCCGCAAATAGTCCCCCGGTCTTTGCAAATCTTCGATTTCTGTAACAATTTCTTGGGACTTTCCACTGCTGCGAAAAGCGGAGGTCCATGTATTTGCCATGCTTCTTGCACTTGAAGGTCAGTGCGCTGCATTGTTCATTGGTTTTCTTGACGATGGTGATTCCTTCTTGTTTGGCGTAGGCTTGAATGTCTTTCACCATATCATCTGCGGTGTCGTAGGTTCTTCCTATAAGGTGACTCATGGTAATCGATAGATGGGGCAATGCAAGCTTTCAATAGGTGTAAATAAAAATAGGGATTGAAATTAGAATTGATAACTGTCGATTATTCTAGCAATTCGTCCTGAAATTTATACTTTTTTTACTCAATACCATATACGAGCAAATAGGCACCTCATACAAGAGATGACCAAGCACATTGCATAGTCAAATGGCTGCGGCATATTTCCAGCTCGCGGTGGCTTACAAATCATAAAAAAGAGCTGCGAGCAATAATGATAACAATATCAAAGCACAGACCAGAGACCACCGTCCTGATAAGTGGTGGTTATGGAAGCTTTTGACAGACTCGCTTGACTGCAAGTGTCCGATAAGCATTCTATTCTACTAACAGCGAATATCTAGGATTAAATCTCTTTCTTTGATAGCGCCAAAGTATAAGCTCACTGAAAAACGAATACTAGGTAGATAAACCAATGGTTGTTATAGCAACTTATACATATTTAGTTTTCAGCGTATCATTACACGCCTCTTAACAGTACACACTAAATTTCTGGAAGTCGCATTTGGTGCTATCTTACCAAGCTACCATATAAATTCTTCCTATACACCCAAGCAATTTTTTCATACAATTGAAGTATGGTACATAGTTCGTTACCTACACAGATCAGCTTACAAAAAGAATCTTATTATGTTGTTTCAATCACATAAAAGTGCAAGCGCACCAAATGTGCCGCGGTCAGTGCGTAATCGGGCGGTTCTAAATGACCATAATTTTTAAAATGATCAAACTCAATTGGTGCACTAAACAATTACCTTCTCAATCATCACTCTAGGGTATCAAAATCTAGTAAGGTGTATTATATACAAGTGAAAGGAATAAAGGCAAAATGAAATAGGTAATATCTCTGATGTCGATAAGTAGAATATTTGCACGATAAAAGCAAACAAGTCAAATGTTCAGCCTTCTGGTTATTCTTAAACGCATACAATAAGCATCAATTTAACCTTTCTGGATTTGGTTCCTTTGATGATTGTCAGCGCTTTACAAATATGGTAATCACTCATGCTTCAGCTTGACATACACAACTTTTTTGTATCGTCCGCACAATCCTCCTTCATTTCGACAACCTTCAGTTCGACAACCTTCATTTCGGCAACCTTCAGTTCGACAACCTTCATTTCGGCAACCTTCTTTTCGACAACCTTCACCTACCTCCTTTTTGCACAGCCATGAATGGGTAATGCAAAAGAAACACAAAGTCAACTCATGTGAAACTCAAAATTGAAGACTTGAGGGTTTTGACCAGACAGATATCATATATACCAAATAGCCTCGACTTTGATTTGCACTCGCAAATCCTCATGGGTTTAGCTGAAGTGCTTGCGGATTCTCGATCAAAAGCAACGACTTCTGAAATTGACAAACTCATCTCAAAATGTCCACCGGTTCCAGTTCCCGATGACAACGAGAAAACTATTTTTACTCGCGTCCAGATACCAGACCTCGGTGCTATGGTAAGCAACATTGTGTTTACAGTCATTGTCGTATGCATCACAGTATCCAAACAGTACGCTAAGGTACAAGATTCCCCCCACAAAAAATAGACTTTGCGCAGCCAACAGAGTATGGCAGCTCTCGTGAAATATGCCGTCAATGCAAGTGAAGAGCGACAGCTAGAATTATTACCTCGTTTGCTTGCCTATGTACGTCATCTGCCTGCATATGAATGGAAAGAAGTGATGCTCGGTAAAGGTAAGGGAATAGAAGCTAGATAAAACTTACATGCACTGAGGGCCTACGATTAAATACATGATTTCGCAGGAGTACCTCCTTCCGATGCCATCACTTACAGCTTAGTCTCAGGCCTTCTTGAAATTGGTTTCAAAGTACCTGACACCTATCGCTATATCAATGACGTACTTTGGAGCTATGGCGAATCGATTATTCAGTTTATGAAAACCAGCGATGTCGAATTCACTGTGTCGTTCATTCTTCCTTCGTTGGCCGGTCTTTCTCGTGCACTTCAGCTTTCTCCATTTTTGTACCGACCTAACCAGCTCCTAGCTCTATGCCACAACACCCAATTTTTGATTCAAGATGAAACATTGGATAACATTCGAAATGCAATTACTGTCTGTCTTAAGGACCATGATCCTCTGGCCTATAGCCGTCGTGTACTCAACAAATATTGGGAAGACGGTGTGCCTCTCAGCAGCAATCGTGTCGTACACGACCTTCTCATTATTTTGCGTAACGTCACTGCACGTGTCATCGCCGACTCCAAACCCAATGCAAACACAGTGACACCTTCGCCAGCCGTGTATACACTCAAGAAGCTTCACTTGACCCGTGATGTCGAGCAAGCTTGGACGGAATTAATGCGCAAGACTGCTTCTGGCGTACGCCCAACCATTCCCAGCGATACCGACAAGGACGAATTGCTCAACAAAAACATGCGAAGTGTTTACGTCACCAGTCTTGGATACTATGAAGATATAAAAAAGTTCGCTGACAAGAGCGCTGAGGATGGCAAAAAGTGGGCTCCCGATGCTTATATGCAAGAAATCATGGGTACTAGCTTGGTATGTGTATGAAAATGACCCTGATTGAAAAATATTAACCATTTAGATCTATCCAGCACGTCGCCGCTTTGTCGTCGGTGTACCTCCACGAAGTCGATGATGTTCTTATTGATCATATATCTGAGTGTCTTTTTGCTCCCTTACATGGAAATGACCCTTGGGTGCATGTTGCAGCTCTCGATGCTGCCGTCCTTCTCGCTATCAAGTAAGGCTTAAGTTACATATACAGGTCAACGCGTGTATCATTCATGCGGATTAATGAATGGTGCACTTGTTTAGTTTCTCGCATTTGAACAATGATATGACAAATGCCATCTGTCGATTCCTCGCCACACCTTCGCCTGTATTCGAGCTATATGCCGAAGAATCCATCACCGTTCAGCAGTTTGCCATTGTTCGTTTGGCTCAATGTGTTCAGGTACGTTGTTAGGTGCTCATAGTGCCCCGTGAACGGACAGTTATAGGTTAAACTAAAGATTTTTGCTCCACAGACAAAACCTTCGGCTCAAGCATCACAAGCAGCTATATCGACGCTATACGCCTTACTCAATGAAATTACGCGCTACACTGATGAAGATGTAGCAGCGACTGACCGCTTCAGCATGTTTGCTACAAACGTTATCTCAGGTGCACCCGCTGCTGACCAGCTGAACGAGAAGCAGAAGCAGCAAGTCTGTGCCAACGCTTTGTCAGCTATAGTTGGCGTAGCCGTCTACCTCGAGGATGAAGCGGTAAAAAACAGATATGATGGGATAAATGTAACAAGCCGTGGTCAAATGTCATTTATTTATACCGTTCATAGATAATGGCTCAAGCACTGTCCATGCTGGTCATGAGAAGAAAGTCGTTGTCCATCGCTGCAACTGCATCGCTCACGTCGAAACTTGTTGATTTGGCGCTTGTCAGCACACCGTCAGTGTTTGACGATATTCTCAGTTTTTTCTCTACTCTTAGTCGTGAGGCCCTGACTATTGACAACAAGCAACTCACTACTGCTGTAAGGAACCAGACAACGTCTTATATAGAGTGTGTATAAGTGATGTAATGGAGGTGCTGATATGTTGTTCGTCCTTAGATTCATAATGCTCAACTCAACTTGGCCAGCCGATTATCTGCAAAGCCTGAGTACTATCAGACGTACCTTTTAAACCTCTTGACCTTGTTTGTTGAAAACGGAAACACCATCCAACGAACCATCACCAAACTCAAAAAAGAGGCAGAATACCCATTGGCGTCCAAGCTGGGCATGCTGCTGCCTGTATTGCGAACCCTCCTTGGACATGACAACTTCAACCCTCATTTGGAGCCAAGTGAAGAGGCCGTGTCACTATTCCGAAACGCATGGTTCCATTGTGTGCTTTTTGGTTTCGTGACTGAATCGGTTTGGATACGCGAATGGCACGACTCTCTACTTGTTATCGCCAAAAAAACGCCTGTTCTGGTTACCGAAAGCGCGACTAACTATATCGAAAGTGATCTAGAATATAACTCGGTATTGCGTGGTGGTAACATGGCCGAACACAACCTAACGGCCATGCGACAGCGGTTGACGAGCTTTTTGCCTTCGCTTTCGTACGATATCAAGAACTTTTCATTTGCTCAAGTCGTCTTTGCTCTCAGCTTTTATCACATTGAAATGATGCGAAGCAAAATGGGCGACTGCAGCTATGTGTTACGCTACTTCATGAATGATGGTATCAGCAACAGCTCGTTGGCCAATTGCTTAGAAACCATTACCGATCGTGTAGTTGGCACGTTCGTCAAGGATTCTGCCAGTAAGGCTTCCGTCCAGGGCATTTCGGCCGAGTTGAACGAGCAAATGTCCAGTATCCTAAAATTAGCTTGCCATCGCTTGAAAAAGGTGCACGAATTGGCAGTTAAATCGGCGGAACGCATTGTGGCAGCTTTCCCACAAATTTTTGCCGAAAAGTCGTTGATCACTCTACTCCTGGAGCTTGTACAATTGCTTTGGCTTAGCTGCGAATTCGAGTATCGTGATGAGGTAATATCGGCGGAATACACACATCGTTAGCGCATCGTCATCTCGGCCTAACATATCCTCTATATATAGTACTCGCCTGTCTTCCATTTTACTTCACCGCGAGTCGCTGTAACTCTCGAACTGGGGGATTCGTATGCTTACCGTCAAGAAATTTGCACTCGACTTTATGAAAGCGCAAAGAAATGGCTTCATATCTCATTGGATCGTGCTCCTATGGAAATAAATGGCCTGTTACAAGACTACTTATCAGAATATGATCGTTTCTCATCTGGTCAACCTATTGATACAGCTCATATGGGTCGTTCTCTGGCTTTGGATGTCGGTAAAGCTGCCTCCAAAAACCAATTGTCAGTTGGTAAGACACTATGAGAGAGAAAGGAAAAAAGCAAACCAGGTTATGTTATTAATGTGATTTTTTTTTTCATTTGAAGAATTCGTTCCTAAGGTCCCTCGCCTTGCACCCGATGAGTCCTCAGACTTTGTTAATGGCTTCACTTCCAGAAGATACTACATTGGTGAAATCAGTGGTATCGAGTATCTCTATGGATTGCGCGAACAATCAGGTGAATATACAAGTATGGATAAGATGTGCGAAGATGCCAAATTAAAACCAACTTTTTATGAAAGAAAAACTACCTGATGCCCGGACTGGCAGCGGTCTTCTCGAGCAAGTTGCTTTCGTATTGGAGAATCTCGAAGCTTTGCTTGTGGACATCAAACAAAAACATCATGTCTCTGTCGAACGCGTTCACCGCACTTTGCATCGTGCTGCAGCCTACGCAATCGCACTCCCCAAGGTTCATGCCGACCTGATCCGCTACCTTGTTCGCATTCCTATCCATATGTTCACTCCCGAGTCTCTTGATATCGGTACAACCGTTTGGAACTGGATGCTGGTTGAACGCTCAGACATTGAAAAGCGTTTGATGGTCGAAATGTTGAGCATGTGGCATTGGGCACAGAAGCATCGCAAGGGGTTGTTCTCTCCTGTATTGAACGTAAAGCATCCATTTGTTGCAAAGATGACCAATGATCCGTCGGACAAGGCTGTGTGTGACAGTAGCCACCGAGTAGCAAATTATTTGTTCACTCCTCATCAGACTTGGATCAAGTTCTTAAGCAGTCGTTTCTACTCTATCCGTCACCGTAGTCGACATCTCGTCAACATGTTTGTCCGTTTGTTGCAAGAATCTTTCCAGAGCGCACATTTGATGAGCACCCACGCGTTGGCACGAACTGTGCGTTTTCAGTTATTGCTGTTGGGTACCAAGATTCTTCAATCAACCCGCATGGAAGCTCTTGCTGAGCACAAGTTTAGATCGCTGGTTTACGAGTGTGCCTTTAACTGGTTCGCGTTGGAGCCTAGGTAAGTTAAAAGATAAAAAGATCCAGATCCGAAGTTAGTTGTTGTACTCACACTTTGTCCACTCTAGATGGCATTATGGCTCGCGTAAGAGCCTTGCATTGATGGAGTACAAGGTCTTGACAGATTTCTACAATGCCGTCGTGAACGATACGCCCAATTTGAGCTATTTGGTCACCAGTTCCCCGCTTAAAAACCCCAATTCTAAGATTGCCTCCGGACTGTACATGTTCTTGAATGGTAAGTGATGCAATAGATAGAACTTCTGACAAATGACCTTCAAATTAATGTGTACATGTTTTTTTTTGGTTTTCAGATAAGACCAAGGATGATGTGATCCGCCAACACCACCTTGCCAAGAAGCTTTTGATGCTCTTTTTAGAAAGTGAGCTTACTCGGTTGTCTGTATGGTGCAACCCGTTGAACTCGATGGGCCACGGAAATCCTGTTTGTTTCACTGGCAGCACTGAGAAGTCCATGGTGATGGATGAATCGTGGAAGGAAATCGTGCGTTTCGCGTGGGAAGTATCTCCTCGTTTGGCTGTTCGAATGGATGCCCGCTTCGTTCAACCCATCGTTTACCGAGAACTACATCGTCTTATTGCAAACAACACGCTTGATGTGGTTGATGTTCCCGAAGCCCTGGTGATCCTCCTGGGCGACAGACTTGTACCTAATGCTAAGCTCGATTTGAAGGTAAAGTGAGAAAAGACATGCCAATTAAATGTCATTTACAAGGTTCTATGACTTATGCGGATCATATGTCCCTAGCATCTGCAATACTGGGCTCCTGTACCTGCCATCACTGCTGCCAACTATTTCTTGCCAGCGTATAACAATAACCCGCTGATCCTGCAGTATGCTATGCGATGTCTTGAGTATTATCCCGTGGATACTGTTTTCTTCTATATTCCCCAGATTGTGCAGGCTTTGCGTCACGACGAGTTGGGCTATGTTGAAAAGTATATTATGGAAGCCGGTCAAGTGTCGCAGCTGTTTGCACATCAGATCATTTGGAACATGAAGGCAAACTTCTTTGTGGATGCTGATAAGGAGTGTGTTAAGCCAGATGCATTGAAGCCATCCTTGGAACGTATCATTCAAAACTTGGTGAACTCGTTTACTGGTGAAGATCGTGAATTCTATGAACGTGAATTCAAGTTCTTCAAGGAAGTTACCGCCATCTCGGGCTACTTGAAAGAATACATCAAGCACGGTCAAACCGAAAAGAAACCACTTCAAAAGGTAAAAGTCCATATCAATTGTTCGCTCGCTTTCTTTTAAATATCCACCATGCTTATATTTTCTTTAATACAGAAACGCCTCGATGAAGAATTGGCTAAAATCAAGGTCGACGTTGGTGTTTACTTGCCGAGTAACAGCGATGGTCGCGTTGTTGATATCAATCGCACTTCTGGTAGACCTCTTCAGAGCCACGCCAAGGTATATCAAATGTGTTACTTGCACTATGTGAAAAAAGAATACACAAAAACTAAGTCTTTATTTCATTCATAGGCTCCATTCATGGCTACTTTCAAGATTGAAAAGGATGTGGAGGATGCCGACTTGTTGGGCAAGGCCATGATTGAAAGCGAAGACGGTGATGAAGTAGAAGCTAAGAAGCGCACTGTGCAGATCTGGCAAGGTGCCATTTTCAAGGTCGGCGATGACTGTCGTCAGGACGTGCTTGCCTTACAGTTGATATCGGTTTTCAAGAACATCTTTACGGGTGTTGGCATGGACCTGTATGTTTACCCTTATCGTGTTGTGGCTACTGCTCCTGGCCAAGGTGTTATTGATGTGATTCCTCGGTCGATCTCGCGTGATCAATTGGGTCGTGAAAAGGTCAACAGCATGTACGACTACTTTGTTGCCAAGTATGGTGGTCCCAACTCGATCCACTTCCAGCGTGCTAGAAATAACTTCGTGCAGAGCTTAGCTGCTTATTCAGTTATTTCGTATCTGCTTGCCATTAAGGATCGTCACAACGGTAACATCATGTTGGATGATGATGGTCATATAATTCATATTGGTAAGTCAGATAAGAGTGGTTGGGTAGAGTTGTGCCGTCAAGAAGTTAAAAGTAGACATAGACAACTGACAGTTTCTCTTTTTCATCAACAGATTTCGGCTTTATTTTCGATATCGCACCTGGTGGTATCACTTTCGAAAGCTCGCCGTTCAAGCTTACTACTGAAATGATCCAAGTCATGGGTGGTGCTAGCGATGAACAAGCTTTCCGACAGTTCTCGGAACTGGTAGTCAAGGCATACTTGGCCAGTCGACCATACGCTGACCAGATCTGCCAGATCGTCGCGTTGATGTTGGATTCCGGCCTTCCGTGCTTTAAGGGCGAGACAATCAAACGACTTCGTTCACGCTTCCAACTGGATCGCTCCGAACGTGCTGCTGCGGACTTTATCATGATGCGTATCAAGGACTCATTCGAGAACCAGCGTACTGTGCTTTACGATTACTTCCAGAAATTGACCAACGGCATCCCGTATTAAACCAAATGTTCGATTTTTTAAGCAATAAACAAAACGGATCGCTTTCGTGAAAATGGTTTTTGAATGGTTGAGTTGGGATCTCCTATGTAAGCACTGCATGTTCTCTTTTCGGGTTTTGCATTAGACCTGACAAGAATAATGTGTATAAACAAACGTGCATGTGTGTTATGTCCCGATAACTGAACTTACAAGATTGTTGTTACGTACATAAAGCCACGATGTCCATTTTATACAGATGTGATTATATTCAGTTATATTTACAATACGCCTCGTCTTTTTATTCGATGCGTGACAAAAATTACGGCTCCTCGTACAAGCTCGTAGACCAGCATGAAGATGAGGAACCAAAAATTAAACCACCCAATCACGCTATTGTGGATTTCGACTCGTTGTGGATGGCAAAAGGTACCTTGGAAACTGTACATGCCCTTGTAATCGGTGTAGAACATGCTAAAGTACGTGCCAAGAGCAGAAAGCGGGAGCAGTGTGTCATATTTGGCTGTTCGGCCAGGGTAATCGCGTGGTCGAGTCCCTGCTGGATCCATCAAAAAACTTGTACGGCGTGCACGGATGGCATCTATCACCCCTTGCTTCGTAAACTCAGCTGCCTGAACGGCTAGCCATGCATTTGCTGCTACAGAGGGGTGGTGGACATCTGTACCGACCATTTGAATAAGGTTGTTTTGAGCGGCTGCGATATAAGTTGCATAATCAAACGTGGATTCATGCACGACTTCAAACCCATCAACACCCCATTCGATCAGACTTTCAACAGACGGATGGTTCGGTAATCGGGCTTCTTCGTAGTATGCCTCTAGTTGGAAGTCATCCCATTTAATTAGTCAAGCTGAAAGAAAAAGTTAACAGATCAGTACCAGTTGTGTTGCTCCATGGGATGTGGTTGACTATAACAAGACCGCCTAGTTCATGCACACGATTTATAACTTGCTGGAGCTCCTCGTCACTAGGGTTCGGGGGCCCGACGGGTATCGACTCATTGATGTTGATGAGATTCATGTGAATACGACAACACCTAAGAAGAAAATGAATACCCGACGCTGTCTTTGAGCTCTGCACTAAGGTGAGGTTAATATACGTACGTATATTCAATGCCTGGAATAACGACAATGTTGTCTCTATAGTATTCGTCTTGCAAAGCCAATTGCTCAGCTGCCAGTCCTCCTTGGACAGTATTGTGATCACTATTTCGAGCATTAGCCGAACAACGTTCTGCTTTTGTCTTTGTGGCTCTTGGCAAACTTTAAACTTTATACTTGCGTAACAATCACGGCATTGTAACCATTGGCTGTATATACCCACAAGCATGCTAAAATTAGCCATCCGTGCTTCTTTACACATCATCACCAGGTTCACTCACAAGCGTACTACGTCCAGCACCTTTTGATTGAACGGTGTCTATACATACCGATATGCCAGTCCAGTAGCTGCCGGACACTCATTTTACCATCGCTGTACGTCGAATGCGAATGACCGTCGAGCAAAACGCTGTACTGTCCAAACGATGTGTTGAAAGGCGTCAGATAAGACCTTGGGTCGACCCGCCAACTGAACTGCAGGTCTTTGAAATCTTCGGCCTGCGGCATGTCGTCGGTGTATCGTAGCCCGAGACCGATCGCGAGGAGAATGGCAATGACGGCGATGACAGTACCGAAGCGAATGGCGAGGCCGGCAAGGTAGCGTTTGCAACAAGCATAATCTAGACGACGGTTGCGACGTGTTGATGGTTGTTCGGGTATGGGCGTTGCTCGATTGCTACGACTGTCGGGAGATACCGAGTCTAAAAACGTTGTCGAGTCAGGGGTTTTAAGCCGCGTAATGCTGTTGCTTTGTTGAAGTTGCATGCATGCATGTAAGGGATATGAAAGAGAACAATAAGAAACGGAAAGAGCGAAGAATAAATGAGAAAGAAGATTCTCCGCTGTTTTCCATGCATCCCCTCTGGTGCTAGCACGTCCCCATCCCCGAACAACGCGGATAATTTTCCCGCTCTCGCAGCATTTGTTTGGATACGAAAAATGACACACAATGTTGACACGGTGACAAGGCGGGAAATGAAAAATCAGTTTTCTCGCAAAAAGGGCGGGGACAAATACGAGAAAAACACCCTCTTTTCTTCGTTTCTCTATTACATAACTTTTCTTGCAATGTCGTTCATTGTGCCCACCATTGCCAAACATGCTGCGACGCTTCGCACGACCGGGACTGCTGCTGCATTCTACTCGACTGGCTCGCGTATCAAGGTCGCCAACCCCGTTGTCGACTTGGACGGTGATGAAATGACCCGTATTATCTGGCAAGATATCAAGGAAAAGCTGGTTCTTCCTTACCTCGATCTCGATATCAAGTACTATGATTTAGGCATGAAACACCGTGACAATGTAATGTATAAAGGACTCAAAGCAAAGGAGCGCTGGGGTGGGGACAACAAGAAGTTTCTTTCACCATTGTTTGCTGGTGTTATATTTGTGTTGCGTGATGAGGGTCGTACTGAAACAAACAAATTGTTTATTAGACCGACGATCAAGTGACGATCGATGCTGCCGAAGCCATCAAGAAATACAACGTCGGCATCAAGTGTGCCACTATTACACCTGACGAAGCCCGTGTCGAGGGTAAGCATAACCAGATCCCTGTCAAATAAAAAAAAATAGAAGCTAATAATACAACGACGTCAGAATTCGACTTGAAAAAGATGTGGCGATCACCCAACGGCACGATCCGTAACATCTTGAACGGCACTGTGTTCCGTGAACCCATCCTTATGAAGAACATCCCTCGCATTGTCCCTGGCTGGAAGGAGCCTATTGTTATTGGCCGCCATGCATTCGGTGATCAGGTTCGCTCTCTTTTCCTTTATATATTGTGAAGAACGAAACAACCCGATGTGCATATGGAGGGAAGGAGGAGGAAGAAGTGGTTGCAATGGCAGTAGGAAGGACTCTAACTGTGGGCTGCCATTGCACTTTGCGTGTTATGATCGGCTACGTTGAATTAGTACCGTGCCACCGATTTTATTGCTGACAAGGCCGGTAAGTTCGAGATGTCATTCACACCCGCTGATGGCAGCGAGCCCACCAAGTGGACAGTGTTTGACTTCCCTGACAACGGAGGTGTCGGCATGGCCATGTACAACACTGACGAATCGATCAGCGGCTTCGCGCACTCGTGTTTCCAAATGTCCCTCGCCAAGAAGATGCCCTTGTACTTGAGCACCAAGAACACGATCTTGAAAAAGTACGATGGCCGCTTCAAAGATATCTTCCAGGAGATCTATGATAAGGATTACCGCAGCCAATTTGAATCCCAGAATCTGTGGTACGAGCACCGCTTGATCGATGACATGGTGGCACAAGCATTGAAGTCCAAGGGTGGATTTGTGTGGGCGTGCAAGAACTATGACGGCGATGTCCAATCTGATATTTTGGCTCAAGGTTATGGTTCGCTGGGCCTTATGACCTCGGTCCTGGTGACCCCTGACGGCAAAACGCTGGAGGCTGAGGCTGCTCACGGCACTGTGACGAGACATTACCGTGAGTTCCAGAAGGGCAACCCCACGTCGACCAACCCTATTGCTTCCATCTTTGCTTGGTCTCGCGGTTTGGCTCATCGCGCCAAGCTGGACAGCAACGAGGCCTTGACCCTGTTCTCGAAGGACTTGGAAAAGGCTACTGTGGGCACTGTGGAAAACAATAACATCATGACCAAGGATTTGGCGTTGGCTATCCATGGCAAAGAGTATGTTTTTTCTTCTTCATTTAGCTAAGCAAGAGAGAGAGAGAGAGAGTGTGTGTGTGTGTGTGTGTATATATATATATGAGTGAGCGTGTTAGAGAAAGCTTACATTTTCCCTTTTATAGCATGCGTCCCGAGCACTACGTGACGACCGCTGAATTCATGCAGGCAGTGACAGACAACCTGAACAAACTCAGAACTAGCGCATGAGCAGGTTAAAAAAACACACACTCGACATCATCACACTACACGAGACAGAAGCATGCATGTTGTTTGCTGCTGCTGTACCGCCCATAAAAAGATAGCTCACCTAAACTTTAGCATAGAGAGACATTCTGCATTCTTGTTACTTATTCGTAAATTAAAGACCACACATATTGCACACCCACACACTCAATGCGTAGCACCCTCTCCCCCGTGATCTCACAAGTTCCGACTTCCAGGTACTACAAGGAACTAACGTTAATTTTGGGTTTTACTTTTTCTTTTCTTCCTCCCACTTTCTCTGCTTTCTCTACGCTGCAACAAATGTCGACAACGACTACCACAGAGACTACGCCATTGTTAGCATCAGCAGGAGGAACACACAAAGTACAAGCACAGCTCGTCGACTGGTTCAGTCTAATCTCTGCGTCCCTGTATTTGGAGAATTCTGGTAGCGTTGCGCGAGATCACCTAGGTAAAATAAATAAGCCGAAACCAAGCAGGATCGCTATGGAGACAATAGGAAAAACACCGGATCGAGAAGCTAATAGTCCAAGCATCTGGACAGCAAACGAACGCACCTTTCTCGCGTGGGTACGTACTAGCTTATCCACAATCTCGGTCGGCGTTGGTACGTTTTTCCATCATTACACCATCCATCACACAGAAGAAAACAAGCATTAATACCGTTTGCTGAGATGTGTCATTATACAAAAAGGTATAACACAACTGTTCCGACTGGAGAAGGAGCTGCAGTTACCGGGACAGCTTTTGGGGGTAGCGTTCATCGTCATTGGGATGTTGTTCCTGGTATTTGCATGCATTAGGTTCTTTCACGCGCAGGTATAGTTGAAACGTCCGCTTGGGATCTTTTTTGCTCTCTCATGAACAACTCACACGTGGTTTTAGGTTGCTATGACAGAAGGCTATTTTCCAGCCACAAGGGGCATGGTCATGATCACGGTCACTGCTACATTTACGGCATTGATTAGTTTACTTGTAGTTGTTTATAGGGGAACATCGATATGAGAGACAAATAGAACTGCAAAGAAACATGGAAAAAATGAAAGCATGTGAGAGGGGTTGTACACAAATTTATGATGGATGATGTAACGATATGATGACGATAACGGGGAGGTACATGGTAGCCAATGGAGTGGTGTTGAAGAAAGGGTATTTTGAGGGTATATATTAAGTTTGAACATCTTCTTTTGACTGGCGCACCTTCTCGTCTTTTTATTGCGCAATTTTCTTCCGAGGGACGTGTTGCTTAACGTGTTCCTCTGGACGTGTCCGTTTCGTGCCAGTGGGTATGGAAGCAGCACATGCAACAGCGGTGACTGCCGCTGCTTCTTCTTCTGCCAGCGAAGAAGATGATGTCGACGCCGAAGAAGGAGGAGATAAAGAAAACGACGACGACGCCGATGACGACGGCTGGTCAAATCCACTGCAAATGCTCGACTCGTCATCGGGCACCTCAGGCATCAGCAATGATCCATCGCTTGGATATCTGTATACGATTGATGCGACATCGGCTTCGCCATACTTATGGAAAGTAAGCAGGAACAGGAGTGTCAGTTTTTTCTTGTTACCTGTTCGTTCACATTAAGGATAGTTCACTTACTTTGTTCAATGCAGGTACTTCCAACGATTCAAAAACCATGTGAATAAATTCGTGCATGCTCTTTTCAAACTCCAAAAGAGGATAGCGCCTTGCCAGCTTTTCAAAATGTTGCTGTAGACCATCATCACCTTTGTGAACGACCAGAAATTCTTTCTCACGTTCGCGTACTTGTGTTTTGAACAAGTACATTGTTCGCGTCTTTGGAAATAGTAAGTGATAATCGGCAGCTTTGACATTCCATGTTTCTTCCTCTTCGTCATCATCATCATCATCATCATCGTCTTCTTCGTCGTCGTCATCGTCGCTATTGTCTGTGTCGTCATCATCGTCGGCTTCGTCTGGCTCGTCTTCGTCTTCTACATAGCCGTAAGAAAAGATTTCACTGATCGGTTCCGGCCCCGTTTGTCCGTCGCACATGTAGCATTCGATAGCTGCTTGGGTCAATAGATTCAAAAACAAATCGTACCAAGTCGGTGGCATGCCGCCACCCATGACTTGTTGCCCAGCAAACACCATCGGCTTGGTTTGCTGCTGATGTTCAGACGTATTGTTGTCGCTGCTGCCATTATCTAGCGCACGTCGAAGTAGATCTGCACTTGTTTTCAAGAACGTCGGGATCGCATCCATCAGACCGGATTTCTTTTTGGAGGTCCGGGCAGGACATGACTCGCATGCCGGATGTCGATGGCGGCGGCAGGATAACGGTGTGATAGGCGTAGCAAAGATGGTGTGTTCTTTATCCAATTTGCGTCGTCGAACAATCACATGATCGTTGGACAGCGCGTTGTAGCGTGCTAAAGTGTGATTCGATAGGAGGTACAGGTACAAACGTTGTTGGAATGGCGTTGATTCGGGATGATAATCGTTGTGATAGCTCGATAATATGCCTGCTGATTTTTAAAATAGCAAATAAATAAATAATGTACGTTGGCCCCTTCCTTAAGCACTCGTTACATAGCCATTTTACTGCTATTGTAAACATTAAGAGTGGCAGGCTGCTGTGGCTGCTGCTGCCGCCTTTTATAACATCTTACCAGCAACAGTTGAATCTGCGGCAGCCTTTTCATTTCGTTCTGCGGCCTTGCAGGCAGTATCCAGATGATCGTAGACCTTATCGGAAGGTGAGGACGGAATCAGTTCGTGACCGGCTTGCTTGAGTCGCGATTGAATCGATATATACAGTAGATAGTCGAGTATGACCTTATCAGTGCTCGAAGAGGAAGATGAAACAGCAGCGGCAGCTGATGTGGGCTCGAGCAGTTTAAATGTTGAAAACTGTCTCTGCATCATTGTGTAGAAGAGGAGTGGATAAAAAGAAAAAGAAAAGCAAACTAATTTGCGAGAGGAAGAGAGAAAGGTAAGAGAAAGAGGGTAAGAGAGATTAGAAAGTTTAGCTTTTTTTAAGGAAGGAAGCATATCTTGGGCTTTGTGCGTTTGTGTATGCCTGGGTCTTATGCGTGTAGGTGTCTGTGTAGTGCAGCAGTAGTATATAAGGTGCACACATATAGTACACTCGTGGAGTAGCCTGTCATGATTCCGATTTAATCGTCGTATCAGTTAGCATTCCTCGTTTTCCCGATGCTTGAAAAAGTCACAATCACTATTTTTCAATTTTTGGCATGAGACCCCCAAAAGTGCTTATTTGCTGCTGCTGTTTCTATAGCCACCTAACCTCTACCATCTACTCAGATACAACAAGAAAAGGCACCAACTTTATGATAAATAAATAAAAGAAAGACAATCTCTATCTATTTCGAAACTAAACGTTGCTAATGCATTCTGCTGCCATAGTGATAACCTATCCCACTCTTACTCGCTTTTATTGCTGTTAGGGTTGCCACAGACATATGGTATCTGATACTACACATATAGCTCTTCATTTCCACAGTCCCGGAGTGGAATCATTCTAATTATTTGATTCCTTCGTTTGGCTCACTGATTTCTTTAAGGTGGCGCTGAGTTTTTTTTTCAGCATTGCGGTGGGGGGGGGGATTAACACATTGGCAGAGGGATGTTTTTTACTTGGCGCGACGTTTTTTTCGTTTTGACGTTGGAATTTTTCCCTAAAATTCTTTCATTTGGCACATGGTGAATTATAACTTGGCGTGTAGATAATAATAGCTTTGCGATAGGTGCTTTAAAACCTGGCGGTTACAACCAAACTTCTTTACTTTCATACTACTAGAATAAGAATACTGTACACGAAAAATTCGTACGAAGCTTTGCCAAGCAAACCATAGCCTTTTGAGATAAAGGGCATAGTAAAAGATAAAAAAACAGACAGGGCCCTATTGTTTCAGCTTCTTTCGTCAAGACAAATATTCATACTACTTATACTCCACATTTGGAAAATGACACCGAAGGTTCAATAGAAGACGTGTTGTATAATGAACTTCCGTATTCCAATGGTAATCATATTGCTGCCAAGAAGAGGCGATTATGGATGATGAAGAAGCTGTAGAAGCACATCCATATCATATTGTCAATACAGATTTTGATGGAGGTAAAGAATGATATACGTTTTCCCGTGCCACTGACAAGAAATGTGAGTAACTCACAATAGGTAATGGTCAGAATCAACTGCAAATCGACATTGTCCATAACTAACGTAAAAACTAGCATGAGGTAGAATCTAGGGTATTTATCCTGCCAGTAAGTAACTTCAACCTTTCACTCAAGTAATGGTGAAATATGTAAATATGATAAACTTATTGCATTCGAGAACAATAACAAGATACCGTTATGCTTTTCTGTTACTGTTTAGTTGTACGTTAATACAATACTATGCTTTTGATTTTTACATGTGGCGGATTGGAGGAGGTAAATGAAACGGAATCCGATATGATGACGGTTTTTGTGGCAGTGAAGATTGTGGTATATACGGTAGAGCTTGACATGATAATGAGATGATAGATATTGGTATTTATAAAAATTGATAAAAAATGGGTACTACATACAGGAAAGGATATTATATACAAAAAGGCTCAGTCATCATCTTCCTCGGGAGATTTCCGCTTTGTGCCTATGCTTACTACTCGCGGTGATGGTGGACAAGGTGGAATAACGGAAGGTGGTGTTGGTGTATGAGGGGTAGGGATAAAAACGGTTTGATCATTACTGAGAGCTTTCAAGGTCTTTTTCACGGCCGCTTTCGTTTGCCATGTCAATGTCAGCAAAGGTACCAATTGCTTATAAAAAGCTTCAATTTGGTCTGGGAAGGCCATCGGACCAAACTTGTGCACGATACAGACATAATGCTTCGGAATCGACATCATTTCAACCATCAGATTCAACCCTATAATTTCATTGTACAAAGATTAGTAAAAGCAATATCAGGTTCATTACGCTTTCTGATAGAAGCCATACCGTTGATGACAAACCCAGGTACAATGACGTTGTTGATGGCTGTGGGATTGGGTTTCAACATTCGCCAGAGCATGTCTTTCATGAGTCGTGGTACTTTGATGTCGGATTCATTGATCCATTTCGTTGACGTGCTTCCACCTTTTAAACCTGCTTCGGCACATCCATACTCAAGATCGCGGTAGCTTATTATTACATCCACTTTATGCCCGGTATCCTTGCGATCAACGGTCTCCGTACCCGTGATACACTGGGCTGCGTTCTTTCTTTCGCTAGAAGAGATACTAGCTTTTTCACCGCTAATATCCAAATAAAATAATGTGTTAGTTTCTTTTCTTATGTATAACTAATCATCATTACAGTCATATATTACTAGTATTTAATAATACACTCACCTGATGATTGTGAATGCCGATTCATCGAAGCATTTTTCAATAAAAGGAAAAACACGTCGTACCACGTCAGCTTCAGTTGTTCGTTCATCCATCGGTAGCCATTCGTAATTAAATAAGTCAAGGGCTTCCATGACTGCTTTATGGGCCCAGTAGACCTCTGCTTGTTTTTTCGGGTGGAAGGCTGCTTGGCTCATGACTTTTTCAGTCAGGCTGTCGAGATCACACTAAATAGAAGAAAATATATATTCATTGTAGTTCATGTAATAACTTTCGTATTGGGTGCAATCTATGAATAGCTCATACCAATCCTTGATAGGAATCGAAATATTGCTGCACTTCGCTTGGTAACGGTTCAAGCTTTAATGGTTTGTAGCTTCTGATTTCGTGCAACTCGTTTTGTGTGAACCGCGCTTGCCAACAATCATCATAGGGGTTCAGGATTAAGGAATGGACGGGGCTATTTTAATGTAATAAGGCTTGTTAGGTTATGGTAATTTGATATATGCAATGCTTAGTCCATCATTTATACTTACTGAAGGTAATCACATTCTTTTGCGAATTCACGCATCACGTCTTCGACTACTGTTCCTGATTTTAAGGTCCACTTTTTTTCATCGTCAAGTTTTTCAAATATGGCATCGATTTTTTCCTTGTCACTTGGCGACAAAAGGACTGATGCGGATGATGATTTTGATGTTGCTGCAGCTGATGACGATGGCGATGACGAGTTTGACTGCTGCTTGTATGTCGCCTCCAGTTTTTTCCAGCTAACTTTAGCTCCTTTTTTCTATAAAAACGAGGTGTTAAGAGATATGAGCAGTTCACAGAAAATTAAATAATTAACTCATATTACCAGGGTGATATTCATTATTTTTGCCATGTTTCGGATGCGTGCTATCCAGAATTGAGCGACATCAACACCTGTTGGTGTATTGGCTTTCATGAATTCGTAATTTTTGTTGACAAATTTTGCGATGGATGGTTGCTTGTCAATAGTCAAATATGCTCGGATTTCTAAATAAATAATTGATATCGTTAGTAACGCTGTTGTTGTTTGTTCTAATTAATCCCCTTCCTTCTAAACACACCTTGATCGCATTTGTCATTGTTTGCTCTAATGCTGGACGCTGCGTCTGTTGGCATGGTGGTGACTTTGAATACCAGAAAGAGCTTGAATGCACAGTAACTGGGCCACGCAATACCTTTTGTTTCTCAAAAACAAAGTGACTTGTTATAATCACATGATATGTTACACACTGGTAGTCGCTATTACACACATGGTAATTGGTAATTAAACAGTGTATTCTCAGCTGGCTGAAAAAAAGTTCGTTTCCTTCTTTTTGTCGACGACAGCAAGGGCAGGAGTTTGCCACTCTGATAAATCCCGAGTAACCAATGGATTGAGTGATAGTTCGAGGATGTGTTGCATTAAATTCGCGCCTGATTCGAGCTACCCGAGGATGTGTTGCATTAAATTCGCGCCTGATCCGGGGTCTTCTTTCCGTTGCTTGCGATGTTAGTGGCCGTGTGCTACGTATATAGGCAGGGATGAGTCCTTGTGGATAAATTCCAAGTGGACAATGGATTGAGTGATAGTTTGAGGATGTGTTGCATTAAATTCGCGCCTGATTCGAGCTACCCGAGGATGTGTTGCATTAAATTCGCGCCTGATCCGGGGTCTTCTTTCCGTTGCTTGCGAATAACCCCAGCTGTCGTCATGGCATTCTAGCAGGGATAGATTTATTAACTAGTGTGTTCATCATGGTAATCTTGTATGTACTTTATCGAGCTTACAAATGATGCAACTCTTTTGTGGAAGCTAATGTATCAATGACATTTTTTTCTGGCAATATTTTTATTTTAGACTGGATAAACTATAGATGCGATTGTAACAGACAAGTATACAGGATAAAGGGAGCTCATTTACGGGAGAGATGAAGAATTAGAAAATATGGTGGAGCAACATACAAAATCATACGTGCCTTATCTAAGAAATATATAGGATTACGTACACCTGTAATGACTATTCGGTAGTTTGGTTGAAGGAAAGATGTAGCAGGCTATGGATCATAATACATAACCAAGCAATGTATCCTGTTATTATTAGAAAGATACTGCCACTGTTCTTTTATTTTCTTCCGTCACTGTTTAAAGCAGATCATTGAGTTTGTACACAATCCGTTTTGTGATTCATTATAAAAATAATTTAGTTATCGATACATATTGATTTTGAAACAGTCTAGTCTACTGAAACGATTTCCTTGAGCTACTGATTGCGCTACTGCTATATACTGTTAATAAAGAGGTAGCGAAAAACTGATAAGTGATGGTGGAAGGAACTCAAAAACCTTGTTGTTGACCAGAATTCTTGCTGTCAAAACTGAAAGTCATGGTTGCTACGATGTATTGACCTTTTTCCTTCACAAATTCTGCTATTGTTGGTCGCTTGGCAACGGTCAAATATACTCAGATTTCTATTCAAGGCATTAAATAGTGTTCCTGGTCTTGTTTGTTCCACTCCAACCACCTCTTCTCTATTATACACACCATTGTCTTATTTAAGCTAGTATTGGGCTCTGCATTGGCTGGTATGGTGATCGTTTCGAATACCGGAAAGAGCTTGAAAGAGCAGCAAGTATTCTTTGTCAATGATTAGCAGCTACCTTCTTGTACCTTGATCCTCCAAATCATTATTACCAAGAGCAGGTAAAGTTGACTGCTTAACTTTCTAGGTGATGATGTGCAAAGGCATCAATTACTTCACGAACGCGTCAGGCCCATCCTTATCACCACACAGACTGATTTACCGAATATCCATCGACCTAACTAAAATCGACCAATATGTTAGCCCTTATACGATCGGTGTTGTTCTATCATATATAGTTAATAGTAATTCCGTTTATTGTGTGTAGCTGTGAGACCAGCTTTCATTAGCTGATAATATAACAGCACGCAGTATTCATCTCGTCGGCTTTACATTCTTGAGATCCGTTTCGTTCAAGCCCTTCGATGGTGTGCTTCCACCTTTATGTAAGCCTTGCCTCAGCACATCCGTATTCAACATCAAGATAAAATATAATTATATTCACCTTGTATCCGGTATCCTTTCGTTCATTTTTCTTTCGCAGGATGAGGACACGGCTCTGATTCTTTCCACTATGTTGAAACGAAAATTCTTATTGAAAATGCATATGTATCGATATTCTTGTGTATAGATAATTGTCGTTATTTACCATATTTATCAGTTTCGTTGTATATTGAGTTTATAACTGAAAAAGGCTGTTGATATGACATTATCTGGCAACAACAAAAGCTAGTGTACCGGTGGTAAAAGCTAGAGAAAAAGAAAACGAATACTGTAATAAATGTCTTTCAAAAAGAGATATTAGCTACAGTATTTCCTTTACATTGAATATAAAATTGACGGTCGATGAATCTCTGCTCAATTCGAGGAGACCGTCGATTCTGACATAGAAGCATACATGCTGTGATTTTCTTATTCGGTGTTTTATTGAGCGACTGACTGAAAAAAAAGGAACAAAAGAGAACGGTAATCTCTATCTCTACTATCCTAGATCTTCAAAGCGACTGGCCAAATGGGACTTGGGAGGGTGGGAGCGTATATACTTCGATGTCTCCATCACAGGTCTGATGAGCGAATTATAACTTGGCGTGTAGATACTTATAGCTTTGCGATAAATGCTTTAACCAAACCTCTTTACCTTATACTTCTAGAATAAGAACACTGTACACGAAGAAATTCGTACCAAGCTTTTCCAAGCAAACCATTGTCTTTTGAGATAAAGGGCATAGTAAAAGATATATATACAGACAGGGCCCTACTTGTTCAGCTTCTTTCGTCAAGACAAATTTCCATCATGTATGCAACTACCTATACTCCACATTAGGAGAATGACACCGAAACTTCAGTGGGAGACGTGTTGTATGATCAACTTCCGTATTCCAATGGCAATGATATATGTTGTCGCCGAAGAAGAGGCGATTATGGATGATGAAGAAGCTGTAGAAGCACGCCCATAATATATTGTCAATACAGATTTTGATGGAGGTAAAGAATGATATACGTTCTCCCATGCCATTGACAAGAAATGTGTGTAACTCACTAAAGGTATTTGTCAGAATCAACTACAAATCGACATTGTCCATAACTAACATAAAAACTAGCATGAGGTAGAATCTAGGGCAGATATCCTGCCACCAAGTAACTACAACCTTTCACTCAACTAATTGTGAAATATGTAAATATGATAAACTTATGCAGTCGAGAACAATAACAAGATACTGTTATGCTTTTCTGTTACTGTTTAGTTGTACGTTAATACAATACTATGCTTTTGATTTTTACATGTGGCGGAGTGGAGGAGGTAAATGAAACGCATTTCGATATGATGACGCTTTTTGTGGCAATGAAGAATGTGGTATATATCCTAGAGCTTGATATGGAAGATATTGGTATATATAAAATTGGTGTTATTAGTCATCATCTTCCTCGGGAGATTTTCGCTTTTTGCCTTTGCTTACTGGTCGCGGTGATGGTGGACAAGGTGGTATAACGGAAGGTGGTGTTGGTGTATGAGGGGTAGGGATGAAAACAGTTTGATCATCCTTGAGGGCCTTTAAGGTCTTTTTTACGGCCGCTTTCGTTTGCCATGTCAATACCAGCAGAGGTACCAATTGCTTATAAAAAGATTCAATCTGGTCTGGGAAGGCCATCGGACCAAACTTATGCACGATACAGACATAATGCTTCGAAATCGACATCATTTCAACCATCAGATTCAACCCTATAATTTCATTGTACAAAGATTAGTAAAAGTAATATCAGGTTCATTACGCTTTCTGATAGAAGCCATACTGTTGATAACAAAGCCAGGAACAATGACGTTGTTGATGGCTGTGGGATTGGGTTTCAGCATTTGCCAGAGCATGTCTTTCATGAGTCGTGGTACTTTGATATTGGATTCATTAATCCATTTCGTGGACGTGCTTCCACCTTTTAGACCTGCTTCGGCACATCCATACTCAAGATCGCAGTAGCTTATTATCACATCTACTTTATGCCCGGTATCCTTGCGATCAACGGTCTTTGTACCCATGATACTCCTGGTTGCGTTTTTTCTTTCGCTAGAAGAGATACTAGCTTTTTTACCGCTAATATCCAAATATAATAATATGTTAGTTTCTTTTCTTATGTATAACTAATCATCATTACAGTCATATATTACTGGTATTTAATAATACACTCACCTGATGATTGTAAATGCCGATTCATTGAAGCATTTTTCAATGAAAGAAAATACACGTCGTACCACGTCAGCCTTGGTTGTTTTTTCATCCATTGGTAGCCATTCGTAATGAAATAAGTCAAGGGCTTCCATGACTGCTTTGTGGGCCCAGTAGACCTCTACTTGTCTCTTTAGATGAAAGGCTGCTTGGCTCATGAGTTTTTCAGTCAAGCTCTCAAGATCATACTAGGAGGCTAAATCACATATTGTGAGTTTGATTTATTATATGAATTTGATCCAAAATTATGGATTAGATATTTAAATGAATAAATTAATTTTAAAATGAAAAAGAACTATATTAATAGAAATTAATAAATAAATTAATAAAAATAGAACTACATTTTATTTTTTAAACAATGATATATCAATATGTTAGTACTAAAAAAGTTTTATTTATTGGTGGATTATATTTTTGAATATAAGAATTTTGATTTTGTCTAATCAAACATAAAAACAAATTTAAATTGAATTTTTAATTTAAAAATAAATAATTACTCTTTCAGATTTCAAAATCATTTATTTTTTTTAGAAATAAAAAGAATATAAACAAAAAATCCAAATCTTTATCATGGTTGTATTGAATGAATTTCTTCCTATTAATCACATTACACTTAGAATTAACTTATATAATGAAATGGAATTATTTATGCAATCAGAATTTGAAGATTTTATAGAAAAAAATGTTATCGAAAAAATTCAAAAAAAATTAAGAACAAAATAAAAACATTGTTTGAAAATAATCTTTTTCTTTATCTTTCTATGAATAATAGCTATTGTACATATATATTCAAAAAAGGTAAACGTGAAGGGTATTTTTGTACTAAAAAAATAAATACAAATTTACTATATGGTATAAAACCTGATATTTATGTTGTAAACATTCTAAACAGCATATTCCAAAACCAAAAAAACAAAAAAACAAAAAAAAAATATAAAAGGTTCATTTAAACCTCAAGAGGTTCAACAAAACATAAATGTTTTGCCAGATGAACCTTTAAATAGAAATAAAAATAGAAGAAAAATAAAAACTATAAAGAAAAAAATGGGATTAAAGATAATATTAGGTAATCCTTCTTCATTTTTATTTACTAATATTTTACTATAAATATATTACGATATAAAAGTTTATTTGGTTTTATTATTAGGTATATTATGCCATTTTTTAATTTTATACCTAAAATTAATAATAACATTTAAGAATATTAAGAAATATTTATTAACATTAATGTTTTTGTATCTTTCTAGAGGATTAATCAATAAAAATCTATTATTATAAAATATTTAACTACTTTAAAAATAAGGATTTAGGCAAGATAACATAATTTTGTTAGAATTAGAAGAATATATACCTCATAGATTTGTTTGAAATCCATTAACATAGTCTAGTGCGCCTAAATAAAAAAAATATTTAATTATTGTAGTTTATGTAATAACTTTCATATTGGGTGCAATCTATGAATAGCTCATACCAATCCTTCATAGGAATCGAGATATTGTTGCATGTCACTTGGTAACGGTTCAAGTTTTAATGGTTTGTAGCTTCTTGTTTCGTGCAACTCGTTTTGTGTGAACTGTGCTTGCCCACAATCATCATAGGGGTTCAGGATTAAGGAATGGACAGGGCTATTTTAATGTAATAAGGCTTGTTAGGTTATGGTAATTTGATATATGCAATGCTTAGTCCATCATTTATACTTACTGAAGGTAATCACATTCTTTCGCGAATTCACGCATCACGTCTTCGACTATTGTTCCTGATTTCAAGGTCCACTTTTTTTCATCATCAAGTTCTTCAAATATGTCATCGATTTTTTCCTTGTTGCTTAGCGACAAAAGGACTAATGCAGATGATGATTTTGATGTTGCTGCAGCTGATGACGATGGCGATGATGAGTTTGACTGCTGCTTGTATGTCGCTTCCAGTTTTTTCCAGCTAATTCTAGCTCCTTTTCTCTATAAAAACGAGGTGTCAAGAGATATGAGCAGTTTACAGAGAATTAAATAATTAAATTATATTACCAGGGTGATATTCATTATTTTTGCCATATTTTCGATGCATGCTGTCTAGAATTGAGCGACATCAACATCTGTTGGTGTATTGGCTTTCATGAGTTTGTAATTTTTGTTGACAAATTTTGCGATAGATGGTTGCTTGGCAATAGTCAAATATGCTCAGATTTCTAAATAAATAATTGATATCGTTAGTAACGCTGTTGTTGTTTGTTCCAATTAATCCCCTTCCTTCTAAACACACCTTGATCGCATTTGTCATTGTTTGCTCTAATGCTGGATGCTGTGTCTGATGGCATGGTGATGACTTTGAATACCAGAAAGAGCTTAAATGCACAGTAACTGGGTCACGCAATGTCTTCTGTTGCTCAGAAACACACCAGTAGCTGTTACTACATACTTGGTAAACTATGCCCACTAGTAATAATGTATAGCGAAGTCCTTAATATAACAATGTTCATGTAGAAGATGAAAAAATATTAGATAATGATGGTCATCACTATGGCAACGGCCGTATAATCTGGATAGTATGCATTCTAGGTCGAAAGAAAGTACTTATAAGATTTCTTGAGACCGTCAGAACCATTTGCTGATGTTCGTGTGCATACCACCATTGAAGTTCTCCAGACTCGCTTGATTCGAGAGGGCGAGGAAATTCCTAATCTGCATTTGACTTCACTGTTCAATTCTTGTCATATAGTATTATAGGTACCGCAGTCTTTTACTAGTTTACCTTCTGTTGAATCGAATTATTATACATTATTGGCATGCCTAATACCATGAATACTCTCAAAGGTCTACTATTTACACACACAGACACACACACATGTAATGATATTTCACAAACATATTCACTTATTTGTGGGCTGAAAATCAAAAGGAGTGCTGTACACATGTACATGATAGTGAGTGTATATGAAACCACTTCTCCCTTCCCCACCACATGAATTAATAATGTTGCTGTTGGTGCAATGACTCACAATCTATGAAAAGCACCATTGATTCTTCAATATTACATCAATGCCATATTTAGTGTAACAAACATTAGGTTGTCATTATATACCTTTCATACTTATCCTGCTTCTTGTTTTTTATATAATGACAATCAATTTACAACTCATCTTATATAAAATTTACATTTATAAATGTAGCACATTTATTTGGTTCCATAATAATGATTGAAATTGAATCAAGCAAATAATATGATATAATTTTCATACACCAGGTATAAGTGTATTGTTTGTTATACAATGCCACTTCAAAAATAGTATACTTCTATAATATATATCAATAAAGATGGAGATGTGTATAGTAATTTTAATAACCCCAGTATTATTGTTGTTGTTTTTATTATACATTATGTTAAAGGCAACGATGAATCGATAAAAAGCACACCTTACTTTCGCCAAGAGTAGTTGCCACGATTCAAAATATGAGTGGATGGCAAATAACTTTTAGTCTGGATTTCAATAATCTAACTCGTGACAGTATATTCTCAGCTGGCTGAGAAAAAGTTCGTTTCCTTCTTTTTGTCGACGACAGCAAGGGCAGGAGTTTGCCACTCTGATAAATCCCGAGTAACCAATGGATTGAGTGATAGTTCGAGGATGTGTTGCATTAAATTCGCGCCTGATCCGGGGTCTTCTTTCCGTTGCTTGCGATGTTAGTGGCCGTGTGCTATGTATATAGGGCAGGGATGAGTCCTTGTGGATATATTCCAAGTAGACAATGGATTGAGTGATAGTTTGAGGATGTGTTGCATTAAATTCGCGCCTGATTCGAGCTACCTGAGGATGTGTTGCATTAAATTCACGCCTGATCTGGGGTATTCTTTCCGTTGCTTGCAAATAACCCCAGCTGTCGTCATGGCATTCTAGGGAGAACAAACAATATCTATACATTTTGTTATAAATAACAAATTTATGATATTTTATTATTCTGTCAAGCTAGCCTTCGTCCAAGTTTTCCTTGGCTAGAGGAGGGTATGCTCACTACCACTCCGCTACTTTTTAAATTAAAGATTAAACATTAAGAATATTGAAGTTTAAACAGTTTAAAAAAGTTTATACAAAATATAAACCCTTTAAAGAATTAAAAAAAAGTTTTAAAAAAATTATAATCTAATTTTTAATTTTTTCATAAATATGTTTAAACAATAATATATCCTTAACCAATAAAACCTTATAAGATTTTATACTTAAGGATTACCCCCCAGCAGGGATAGATTTATCAACTAGTGTGTTCATCATGGTAATCTTGTATGTACTTTATCGAGCTTACAAATGATGCAACTCTTTTGTGGAAGCTAATGTATCAATGACATTTTTTTCTGGCAATATTTTTATTTTAGACTGGATAAACTAGAGATGCGATTGTAACAGACAAGTATACAGGATAAAGGGAGCTTATTTACGGGAGAGATGAAGAATTAGAAAATATGGTGGAGCAACATACAAAATCATATGTGCCTTATCTAAGAAATATATAGGATTACGTACACCTGTAATGACTATTCGGTAGTTTGGTTGAAGGAAAGATGTAGCAGGCTATGGATCATAATACATAACCAAGCAATGTATCCTGTTATTATTAGAAAGATACTGCCACTGTTCTTTTATTTTCTTCCGTCACTGTTTAAAGCAGATCATTGAGTTTGTACACAATCCGTTTTGTGATTCATTATAAAAATAATTTAGTTATCGATACATATTGATTTTGAAACAGTCTAGTCTACTGAAACGATTTCCTTGAGCTACTGATTGCGCTACTGCTATATACTGTTAATAAAGAGGTAGCGAAAAACTGATAAGTGATGGTGGAAGGAACTCAAAAACCTTGTTGTTGACCAGAATTCTTGCTGTCAAAACTGAAAGTCATGGTTGCTACGATGTATTGACCTTTTTCCTTCACAAATTCTGCTATTATTGGTCGCTTGGCAACGGTCAAATATACTCAGATTTCTATTCAAGGCATTAAATAGTGTTCCTGGTCTTGTTTGTTCCACTCCAACCACCTCTTCTCTATTATACACACCATTGTCTTATTTAAGCTATGTGTATTTCATCTATAACCGCCAAAATTTTCCCCAAAATTGAAAGCTATCAGCACCCCCAAAAACAAATTTACCATAAAAGCAACCAAATCAATTGTTTCTTAAGCATCTTTAGTCTATTTCTATTTGGCTAACTTCTTAAAATAATGTTCTGGGAAGGAGAGGATAGTCATCAAAGTCTGCTGGTTAGGAAAATTTTGCAGGCGAAGGGGAAAATTGAAACACACTCATGCATATTAGGTAAATAATACTCACGTGAAATTTCCTAATTTGGTTAGTATCTAATGCCTTACACTGTTATTCACAAGAGCTGAGATGTGGCCACACCCTGTTCCTTCTACCAGATGCCGCCACTTAGGAAGCGCCAGAAGAGCGCTAGAGAGAACGCAAAGAGAAAACGATACGATGAATATGGAAGATTCATAGCTTCGGAAAGTCCAGTGACTATTACAGATGTCGATGCAGGATCTGAACTAAGTGACAACAACGACGACGATAATATCAACGATTGGGAACTCCTTGACCTGACGCACAACATATTACAACGAGCATTGTTGAACCTCAAAAAAACTCGTAAGTTCTTAACTTACTAAGTGACTCTTTTTGTGGTTCTTTTTCTCTAGAGAAAAAGGTTCTAAATTCTCCATAAAAAGCTTTAGTTTTTGTCTTGGCAGAATTTACAAAGATGTATCTTCTAAGGATAAATTCTTTATAGATAAAACATGTATGAGAAATAACTTTTTTTTTTGTAATTAAAGATTTAATAGTAATTAGAAATTATAAAATAATTAATAATTACATAATGAAATATCTTTTTATGATATTAACTTTAAAGTTTATTATTTCTTAATGATGCTCAATAGGCTGCAAAACTATTGCTGGCTTAGAAAGATGATGCAGATAAATCCATGCGTGTAGTATATAACAAAGACTCCCGTACGACTAACTGGCAGAGACGAACAAGAAGCAAGAGCTGCTGCAGAAGGTTGCAAAAAGGTCGATAGTTATTTCATGAAGGTGACGCAAACGCCGTGTATACATTCAGAGAACTCTTCTAAAGCTCTCCACAAAAACCACAGCGTCGCCATTATTGATAGTGAGGAGCAACTCTCACAGCTTTTAGCATCTTTAACAGCACTTATAAAGCCGGTAGCGAACAAAGGAAGCACGCTCAATACTATGGGTGCTTTTCAAATGGCAAAAACACAAGCTGTATACCAGTACTATCACTATCGGTCACAGGGATTGAAAAGTATTGATAGTTCTCAAAGAGCTGCTGTCGATATCTGGACCACCCCATCAAAAGAGTACAGGGCAAAGGCCATCCACTACTGGGCACGCGAATTCCGTGATTCTGGGTCCATCTCAACACATCAACAAGGGAAGCATGTAGAAAGAGAATCACTCCTCAGTGACGAGTCCGTGGAAGGAAGTCCTGCTATTAGTTGTCTAGCTGTTAGTTGTTTATTGATTTTGTTGTAGTTAATAAGCCTGTCCTAACTAGTATAGCCATTAATGGCCGATATAATTTTAATCAGA